ATATCATATTTCTGTTTTATTTTTAAATAAAAAGCATATAATATACACAAGAATCAAACGCAAAATGTATCACCTATAATCTCATTTTATATCTGTATTTTCTCGGAAACGATTATTACAGAAAAATTATTGATACCTACACGCAGATCAATTAAAACGCTAAATACACATAGATCTATATTAATGAGTCATACGGAACAGCAAATTAAAAATAAAGTGTATAAATACCACGCGATTGCGTGATACCAATATATCTTTTTTTATTTTTTGGTTAAAACACCCAATTTGATTTTTTTTACATGTAAGAACTATTTTTTACCCGTATAAAACTATTTGTTACACGTAAAAATCTATTTTTTACTTTTTCAACATTTCAAAGTACAGGGTGGGAAAAAAAAATTCTGAAATTAATAATTTCAGAATTATCAACAGAAAATTTGATTTTTTATATGGGACACCCTGTATATTTTTAATTTATTGAAAAGGATTTAAAATTACCTTTTCAAAAATATAACACACTTGATATTTTGCTCGATTCCTCTTCGAAATATAGAGTATATAAAAATTCGCCCGCTTTAAATAAGTAGACTTTGAACAGCACCGGCTGTAATGCAAAAAAATTCTAGCTGTGAGCATCAATTAAAACGAAAATAATATTTGCTATGGGAGATGCAGAATTTTATAACAATTTAAAATATATTTAACCAACATCAACACATTTAAACTATATCTAATAACAATAAAAATAAATAGCAAACCAAGACATGAGATTTTGCTACAGGTGTTCGACAAATCGACCTTATATCTGTTATGGACAGACGGGGCAGTTTTTGAACATTTCTCGCGGAATTCATTAACTCAGTGGGGGTGAAAGATACCCTTTCATAACTGCTAAGTATTTTTAATCCTTGTCTAGATTATACGGAAGAATAAGGAACTTTTATTCGCAAATATATCCATAGGATTAGATCCATGGGCTCTAAGTGAGGCGGTCTCGACGGCCAACGGCTGGGATCTTGATTAGCTATCCAATTATTCTTGAAATTGGCTGCAAAAATTTGCTAATAACTTCAGCGTTCAGGGGCGGTGCGTCGTCTTGCTGGTAAAATATGTTTTCGAGTTCGATTAAGGGCATATCATCAATAAGGGGTCCAAAGCCTACTAATTAAAAGTGGCGAACTTTTAAAAATTCTGTATTTCGAAGGAGATTATAACAAAATATCAAGTGTGCTATATTTTTGGAAAGGTAACTTTAAATTCTTTTCAGTTAATTAAAAATATAGAGGATGTGCCAAATAAAAAATCAATTTTTCTGTTGATAACTCTTAAATCATTAATGTTAAACAAATTATACTTAAACCATTAAATTCTACGTAAAAAAGGTGCTTTGGAAATGTTTTCATAGAAATACAAAATTTTCCATAGCAAAAAAGTTACAGCGATTTGTTAAAAATGCACATTTTTGAAAAACACCCCGTAACTCCGAAACGGTAACAGATAATTGATATGCGGTTTTCACCATCATATTTTTGATGAAAATTGAGCTCCAGACACCGATATTAGTTTTCGTCTATCTCCTATAGAAAAGGATGTTTCCATTTAAAAGCGTCGAATTTGACCCATCCTGTACACTTTTTCAAACATATCCTTCAAATCCTTCAATTTAATAGCTGTTAGTAAGAAGTTTTACTTCAAATATGCGCACATAGGGAAAAAAATTGTTTTTTAATAGTTACAGTATAAAGTATGGTCCACACCTAACGTTTTATCTTTCGTTTTGCCTGCCTGACTGACAGGTAAAACAGGGGACTTGTTTAGACCATCTGACTTGAGAGGACTTAATTTCATTTGACAATTATTTTGTTTAAAATACACTAATAATATGATATTTTTCTTCAACATAATAGGACGACTGATAAGCGATTTAGCTGGTAGGTATATAAAGATTTTATTGCCAGTAAAATATGGTACTTCATTTACAGCAACCACTTAGAGCCATTTTTGCAATTCCTCGCATTTTTGGGAATCTTTTTTTGCTAAAAAGAAAACGCTTGAAATAAAACACTTAAAAATTTAAATGTAGATAACGTGTTTCAAGTAAGACATGACAAGTGATTTTAGATTGTCTGCATTCATAATTAAATTATATTAAATACTATGAGATTTTTATAGCGGATTGGAATTTTTGGCTCATTCAGCATAGCCTCCCACATATTTAGATACTCTCTTTGTAATTGGACCCATTGTTGTCTTTTGCTGTCTATGTGGGATCAAGTTATCCTTGCTAATTTTCTAATATCATGGTGCCATCTTAGGTTTAGTCTTCTTCAGGTTCTCTTGATTCCTCGTGGGTACCATGTTGTAATTTTTGTGGTCTATCTGTTGTCCGTCTTTCTTGCCAGGTGACCTGCCCATTGCCACTTGAAGCATTTGATTCTGCGAATGACATATACCGTGCTGGCAACTGTTACTTTTGGGTCGGCATTTACATGTGTGGAAGTAAATCGCATAGTGATCTTATTAAGTCGGAGTGAGAGAAATGCGACCGACCGACGTGACGCGCGACGGTGTGCTGTTGCGGCGTTGCCGATACGCCTTTCCCTATTAAGTAAAGTAAAATCACGATCGCAAACCGCTTATTTTTAAAAGACTTTTTTTTCAAGAGATAACTAGATAAAATCATTAGACATGTTTCTGAGCATCGGAAATGGAATTATGAGGATATCGTTAGGGTGTCATTTTTTTATAACGAGAAAACTCAAGTTTTTAACACATAACAGGCAACAATAACATAAGTTATAACATAATAATAACTCAAGAACCACTTTAGATATTGAATTTTTTTTTATTTTCAAGATCGGATATTATACAATATGTTTACATAAGAAAAATTCGATAAGGTTGTTTTTTCCATTCAAAAATTGTAAAGAATCCATCCATTTACTATATTAGAGCATATCAATTTTCAGCAATCGTGTAATTTTTTTATCGATAAAGATTTTCACATACTGTTTACAAAGAAAATACAGCAGAAATATTAACAAAGTTCTTGAAAAAACTACAATCTATTATTTCTAATAGATTTCGAGATATCGATTTTTGAATTCAGAGTTCTAATAGCGCGACCACTATCGAACACCCACTCAATTCCACTTATTTTTACCAAAAATGCAAGTGTTTGTTGTGCTTGCACTTTTTGCAAAATTTTCAAGCTATAGGGAAAATTACAACGACTCGTTAATAAATAAACAAATTAAGTATCACGAGACGTAATTAAATCGTGAAGCTGAACACATGACGTACACCTTTCCCTAGAACTTTAAGTACTGACAGAGGTATTGATTGGGTCGACCGGTCAACTGCGACAAATCTGCTATATCCCCTTCCACGTCTCTTAGCGATGTGCACGGTTTCTCGGTTTATTTCATACGTTTGGCAACGTAGTTACTGTCCTCTCTTTGTTCAGTACATTATAAACGCATTGTACTTTTCTTACATATGGAAATCTCGACCCAAGACTAACCTTTGCCGGCCCTTAGTATTACCTCTGTCTTTTGTCGTTTCCACTCTACTATTTGACGTTCTTTTTTTGTTTGTTATTCTCAATATGGAACGAAATATGCTGGAAATCAATGAAATGCAATTATTATTACAGTTGGGGGTTGGAACCTTTTGTGTTACAACAGCAAAATAAAACAGTAAATCACCACAATACACCAACGCTTTTACTTTTACACTGGACGCGCGTCTCGCTAACCATGTTAGCATCATCAGCAGACAACTAAAACTAAACTAATGTCTACAAATTGAGCGTTTATATACTCGCTCAGTTGGTTTCGAGTGGGCATGCCAAAAACTAGCCAAGCGAATCAAAACAAACCGAGCGTAACAATTAATTACCGAAACTGGAGCAGTAGGAACAGAAAACTGGAAGGAATTGGGCCATTTTCTCTGTTCATACTATCTTTACATTGTATCAATTTTGACGCTCTCATATGCATCTAATTGCCTGTAATTTGAGACTTGTTTAACTAATTTTAAATTATTGATATTTATACACTATATAATGTTCTTTATCAACAATATGTTCAGCAACGCAAGATTTATCCGGTCTACCATATCTTATCTGATCTATATGTTCTTTAAAATTAGTTAATATTGACCTTCTAGTTTGCCCAACATATTTCTGATTATAATTTTTACATGAAATTTCATAAATACCTGACCTTTCCAGTGGAGGTGTTTTATCTTTAGGATTACCTAATAATAATTGTTGTAATTTATTATTAGCACTATACACAAGTTTATTTATAATTGAAAAAATTATTTTTAAACCACGGGATAACTCTCTACGGTATTGAAAAATATTTTGACGTATCTTTCTCCACTTGAAAAGTCGAATTTTCAGCAATCGCAAACATATACCTACGTTTTCTAATAATTTTGTTGGTAAGTGGAAAACTAAATAATTTATGAACTAAGAAATTTAAACTAGCCATCTTATGTTCAACACTGTGAAACGACTCTTTAGGAATATATCTGCATGTAGTGGCATTTTTTCTATAGATATCAAATTCCAGGCAATTAGTATTTCTAATAAATAATACATTTAGAAATGGTAATCTAACGTTGTTCTCAATTTCATAGGTAAATTTAATGGAAGGAAAACGATTATTTAATTTTTAAGTTAATAATCTATGGTGCCAGAATGTGTGTCAAAAACAGCAAAAATATCATCCACATACCTAAACCATACTCTTGGAATATACTCAAACTGATTTTTAGCCTCAACTTTCTTACTTCATAGATTACTTAGTTTTCCACTTACCAATGAAAGATGTATTCTTCCAAGATTTCTTAAACTGGATATTAAATTATTATAGTAAACATTTTAATACTTTCTTTACTTAACTGAAACTTAGGATTTTTCTACTGGACTATACCCGCTTGTTCCAGATATGCGCATTTTATTTACCAAGAGTTCCTTCACATTTAGAGTGATTTTCTTTGCCAGAACGTCACAAACTACAAAATAGTTTCCACAAGTTTATTCTTTCAGACTAAACTTAGCCACAACATGTATTTTGTATTAACTAAATGTGCGTTTTTGTTGTTTATGTTCATCAAAAGTGGTGAGTGCATTTTTATTTAATTAAGATTATTTATATTAAGAAAAAAGAAATACGCAAACCTTTTTACGTCTGTACAAACTTTTCTTTTTTTGATTAAACAATTTATAGCAAACTTAAAAATATTTCTATATCTATAAGCATCTATCTCTAAGTTTAATGTTTTTTTTTCTGGAAGTAAAGCAAAAAAAAAATTAAGTGCGTATATTTGGAATTATACAGGGTGCTTCAAAAAACACGTGCCATTTCTCGTAGGGAGGTTCCTTATGTAAAAATAAGATTTATTTTTCTTATCAACATGGATCCGATTCTGCTTTGTTTCGTACATTCGGGAGTTTAAAATCTTCTTTTTTTTTTCGTTTTATTATAATTTTTTTCCAAGTTCTTTTAGCGATTTGAATGAAATTTGGAAGATAAAAGCTACTAAGAGTGCTACATATTTTATTGTAGGGCCTATTTTTTAAAAGTTTTGTACGCCCTGTAACTTCAAAACTATGCATTTCCGCATCCATGTTTATAGGAATTATTATACAGGGTGTCTCAGGTTTTAATCGGGAAAATTTAATAGACGATAGAACTGGCAAAAATAAAACAAAAAGTTCATATCAACTTCTAAGATTTAAAGCTTTCTTTTCGAGATACAGGGTGTTAAAGTTACTTAAAAAAGAAAAAAAAATAAGATATTTGAAAAACCATTTAATCGATTTTGATATAACTTGACCCGTTTATAATACTTACTATGGGACCTAATTTGAAGTAATTAGATTTAAGTTTAATGGTCAGGGGCGGTGGTGGGGCATCACTGTTAAATTATTTTAAAGGAAAAAATAGGCACGCCACTGCTTTTTTAAAAGTTTATATTATTTTTGGATTTATTAATTAAAAATATAATTTTTTTGTCTCCTGACTTTTTTGTCTCCCTTACTTCTTGCGAAAAAAATTAAATTCTAATTGGTAATTAATATTATAATTGGGATTCTAATGGTACCCTGTATCTCGAAAAGGAAGCTTTAAATCTTACAAGTTGATATGAACTTTTTGTTTTATTTTTGCTATCTAGTCTAAGTTCTATCGTCTATTAAATTTTCCCGATTAAAATCTGAGACACTCTGTATACTGTGTCAATTTTAAAACTTCCCACCTTTAATATCTTTCTTGCAGTTAAAAATATAAAAAATCGGAAAGACACGTCAATTTTTTTGTAACGGGGACACTTTAAATGGATATTTTTAGCATTTTTCTTTCAACCCCTTAGGAGGGGTAGATATCACCCTTAAAATATTAAATAGAAGTGGGGTGTCAAGTAGCACATCGTTTTAAAGAGCGTTTAATTCTCTTTTCAGTGGTATCCCACTTTGTTGCTTTTTGTCCAGAGGTTTCCGAATAATCGCGTTCCGAAGTTGCAGAAACAATTAAACATGCCTGCATTGAGATTTTGGTTTTCAGACTAGTGTTTACACAAAAATCATTGCAATGGGTCTTCTTGTAGTATAAATGATTAGAAGACGTAGCCATTACATTTTTCTAGGTGGATCGAAATATTAATAAACAGAAAACATCATAAACATTAACGTTTCTTTTCTCAATTTATTTATTATTTTTTTCAATCTCTCATATTTTTCGAGAAGGACATACACTATATCCCCAAAAAGTTAATGTTTGGGCTGGTGTTTTTGGAAATGCTTGAATGAATTGCTCCTTTATTTATTGAAGGAAACTTGACAGGCGATCTGCATCTTGATATGCTTCAAGAGGATCAATAGTCATCCTTTTACACAACACCCAAAAGCTAGAAACTCAAATTGATGCAGAGGGTAATCCAGTTTTACAGGAGGATTTGTTAACGTTCCAGAAGGACGGTGCTACACCTCATTTTCTTCCGGTCCGATAGTGGTTAAACAAGAGATTTCTGGGTACATGGATTGGCAGAAGTGGACCAATTGAATGGCCTCCAAGATCACCGAATTTAACACCCTTAGATTTCTTTCTTTGGGGACATCGTAAATCCAATGTTTATAAAATACAACCTACTGATATTGATGATCTTAAAAGGCGAATTACATCAGAATGCCGCTCAATTCCCGAGGAAGTTTACCGAAATGTTAGGGAGGAGTTTGAAAACAGACTCTTATTATTGTTTACTTATTATTTTGAACAACTTATAAGATAGGGTGAAAGTGGTGTAACCTAATATTCTAATCATTATTTGTACTACAAGGATATCAATCATATTTGCGTAAACACTAGCCTGAAAACAAAAATGCAGGCATGTTTAATTGATTCTGCAACTTTGGAACGCGATTGTTCGGAAACCTCTGGACAAAAAGCAACAAAGTAGGATACCATTAAAAAGAGAATTAAACGCTCTCTTAAACGATGTGCCACTTGACTCATTTAAGATTGTAAGGGTGACATCTACCCCTCCTAGGGGGTTGAAAGAAAAAGGCTAAAATATTCATTTAAAGTGTCTCCCTCACAAATAAAATTGACGTGTCTTTTCGATTTTTCATAATTTTAACTGCAAGAAAGATATTAAAGGTGGGAAGTTTTAAAATTGACACAGTGTATATTTTTTGATGAGGAATCAATGAGTAAAATTGTTAAAATATGTAGTAGGAGTATTTAATTATTGTTTAATTAAGGATGCCTCAGTTTAAAGCAACACAGTTAGCCTGTGCCAAGATGTCAAGAAAAAAAATATATAAACTTTGAGTACTTTATTTTTTAAATGCCTATAACACTGGCTTCAAAAAAATATAAAAATTAAAATCGCCGGCGTACAATTGGGGTCTCTACACAAATTTAAAAAAAAACTTTTTCAACCAAAGTAAAATGCGCGCAAAAAGTTTTGTTAATAATAAATAACGACCATCATCACCAAAAGGTATGCTTACTTTTGCCCCCCTCCCTGTTTCTAAATCCAGGAGGTTGGGTCTTGGCACAAATTTAAATAAAAATAGACTTTAATCCAATGGAAAAAGCAAACAAATATTTTTTTTCTAATATTTTAGTGATAAAATTTTACTTTATGATCATAAGTATTAGTAAACAAGTAAAACTACAAACTAACAATTAAGGAAGTACAATTAATAACTTTAACACACACTGAATTTAGACTAAAAAGGAAGAAAACAATTAGGTACTAGCTATAAGTAAATAAATAAATTTTAAACATGGTTACTGTTGCAGGAAGCAACACTCCTAAGGAGATTTTTTTGATAGTTTTTTGTGATCTCGGGTTTGAATTAAAGTTTTTTGAGAACAACTTAAAAGAATGATGCATCTGCTCTGAGGCTTGCTCAGAGTAAAGGCCTAATACTTTCTGTGAAATACTAACAAAATCCAGTATATGGTGAACAACAGCGTGAATTTTTGGAGTAAAACTGATTTTCGTATCTCTTATTTTTTTAAACAGCTGGCTACCACATCATTGAAGGTACAAAATACCTCTATGTATTTGTTGTCTAAAAAAAATAAGCAAAGGGCTTAGTGTCCAAATAACAATAATAAAATAAAGTTTTGTTACAAAGTAAGTACCAGGATCTAGTGCTTTAAGGACGTCAACTTTTGTAAGCAAGTGTCTGGCATTATTTCCATTAAATCTGCTGTAATGGTCTAATTGTATCCCAGAACTTCTTAGCCAGCTTTCAGCAATTTCCGGAAAGTCCTTTTTTAGAGAATCGTATATTTTTTGTACACTCCCATCTAAAAATATATAGTTGATAATTGGAAGATTGTCATCACCAGTTATTAAAGGAATGTTGACGCAATTTCCTAAAAATTTTAATTAAAATTTGCAAAAAATAACTATTAAAAAAGTCAATAAAGTAAACTTAGCAGTACACTTACTGTACTTTTTTGTTTCTTTTAAATTTCCACCTGTCTCCTCGTTCTATAATGTACTCCATTTGGAAATATCTTTTATGGATGTTAGTTCTCCCTTTGACTGTAAATTTTTTGAGTTAACATCACACCAGGCACGTGGATGGCATGATGATAAAGATTGAAGGCCCAATATAATCATTATCAACTTTAGATCTGCGGCAAATGTGTAAGAACTGACTCCGCAAATAGTATGGTGTTGCAAAATCTCAAACATTGCTCTGATATTTTTGTAGGTTTCTATTATTTTGGGAGCCAATCTTATTAAAATGCGTTTGTTTATTCCGGTACTTTTATGTTTTTCTTGTTTTATTTCGGGATTTTCGTAACAACATAAAGACAGACAAATTTTTAAAGATCCACTTCCACTATCTATGCTCAGTTTTAAATGGAAATCATCAGTAAGTTCACATTTTTTAAACAAATGGTATTTCCACCTGGCCAGGCAGACAAATTGGTCAAAATAATCTCCTTAGGAGTGTTGCTTCCTACAACAGTAACCATGTTTAAAATTTATTTATTTACTTATAGCTAGTACCAAATTGTTTTTTTTCCTTTTTAGACCAAATTCAGTGTGTGTTAAAGTTATTAATTGTACTTCCTTAATTGTTAGTTTGTAGTTTTACTTGTTTAATAATACTTATGATAATAAAGTAAAATTTTATCACTAAAATCTTAGAAAAAAGTTTTTTTTTGTTTATTTTTATTTAAATTTGTGCAGAGACCCAACCTCCTGGATTTAGAAACAGGGAGGGGGGCAAAAGTAAGCATACCTTTTGGTGATGATGGTCGTTATTATTAACAAAACTTTTTGCGCGCTTTTTACTTTGGTTGTAATTTTTTTTTTAAATTTGTGTAGAGACCCCAATTGTACGTCGGCGATTTTAATTTTTATATTTTTTTGAAGCCAGTGGTATCGGCATTTAAAAAATAAAGTACTCAAAGTTTATATATTTTTTTTTCTTGACATCTTGGCCCAGGCTAACTGTGGCAATGTTGTTGTCAAAAAGTCCACAATTCGAAAGATTTTAACATTTAACAAAAAACGAATAGATACATTTTTATCTTTCAACACGTCTTGTATTACACACATACCATCATGACGTTTTACATGATTAATTCTCTGTTCAAACAGTCATTGTAAGTAATGAATTTTTTGAAACCTACGTTATAATACTATCGGGTATCTATCACAGCATTTTTGACGGTGTTATTTTTTTAATAAAAAGTTTATTGAAATACATCGCTATCCAAAAATTACCAGAAATAAATTTTTAAAAGTTTTCTCCTAATCATAAAACAGGTAAAATACACGAAATTTGGTGATTTTTCGCAAGATTTGATTTTTTTGCGAAGTTGAAGGAATATGAAGGTTTTCGAGGCTCCGTTGAAGAAATTCGTTTATAGTGCTCCCTAGGACAAAACAAAAAAAGCGAAATAAAATACTTATTTTTTTTTATGAAATACTTTTTTTCATAATATAAACATTTGTTATAACCAAAAATATCAATAAAATCGTAATTTTACGTTACATACGCTGCTACAAGTTATTTTGTAAACAAAGTTATCACAGCTGAGTGGTTACATTGCGAGATACGATTAGAAAATCGATAGATTACGTGAAAACAAAGTCCCAAAAACAGGAAAAAACCAACGGTTTTGTTGCAATAATTGTTAGAAATTAATACTTATATAAATTTTATTAATACTCCTTTATCCGAAATCCGGGGTCTTTAAGTAATATTGTACATCAAATATTATATTTTATTAGCCAAAATAAAATATTAAGATTAAAAAATGTATCTACAGGATCGTGTAGTATTCGTGTAGTATATCGGGTGCGTCTCAAAAGTGGTTCACCCGTATAACTTTTTTATTTTTTCAGTTAATAAAACGAGATTTGGTATGTTAGTATTTGACATAAATTAGGATTGATTGACGTATTCAATTGTTTTCGGCCACTTCCTGTTTCACCGGAAATGACTACAACTTTTGATTTTTAAATGGCACTCTCTAGAAACTAGAAAATAACACTCTGAAAATAACACTCTCACAACTTTTGACATTTTCGCATATGGTTTATTTGAAATTATAACTTGCGGTTCGTAACGAAAATTTGACTCGAAATACCAAGTGTGTGGTCCAAATATGCTAATGAGTCACCCTCGTTCCATTTGAAAAAATTGAGATATGGTTAAAAATACGATTTAGGCATTTTTTAACCAGCCTGGACAAGACCAAACAAAACACTAAAAACATTAGACGATCAAATCTATTTTTCCAAGGCTCCTTGATTAAGCATTAGTGTTTTTAACATAGCCATGGCACTCTAGATTGAATTTTAAAATACAATTTTTTATTAAGCGAAAATGTCAAAAGTTGACAGATAATATGTCATTCTATTCAGAATGTCATTTTCTATCGAATAAAATAAAAAAATACCGAAGGTGCCATTTAAAAATCAAAAGTTGTGGTCATTTCCGGTGAAACAGGAAGTGACCAAAAACAATTGAATACGTCAATCAATCCTAATTTTTGTCATATACTAACATACCAAATCTCGTTTTTTTATCTAAAAAAATAGAAAAGTTATAGGGGTGAGCCACTTTTGAGATGCACCTGGTATGTATAGCTGATTATTTTTATTACTTTGATTTTAGATTAATATCTTATAAGGTTTTTCCCAAACCATATCATGTTCCACTAATTTTAAATCTCTCTATGTCAGGTGAAGAAGATAGTATACAGCGTGTTTTCTAAATATGTTAACTGTTGTCTGTATTAAAAAATCAAAGTTTTCTCGTAATAGTTAATAAATTTATTACAGTCTCAGGTCTTTGACAAAATCCAGTATCTGAGACGGTTTTACAGAGGTTAGTTCTCAATCTCCAATATCAAGTACCATGGCACGAATGGTTGTGTCCTCGGATTATAATTTTATAATAGTTTACAGAGTATTTTTCTTCTGTTTCAGGTGAATCTACAGTAAAATGCTACCTGTGTTCGACCAAAGATAACGAAACGATGTGCAAAAACCCAGAAACTTACAATCTACCACTGAGAAAATGCGATTCCGACGCCTTGGACAATACCAAACATTTTGCTCATCGTATCGACCCAAGTTATGAGAAAATTTTTGAAGTTGACTCTTCGGACATCTCGAAAAACTTGGACCTGGACTGTTTAAAAGTTGTAACAAAAAGTAAGTCTTATTAATTGCATTCTGAAGCTTCATTCAGAACGTCTAAATTAGTTTTAAAGCTTGTTTACAATAATCGATGTATTCTACAAGCAAGTAGAAGAGACAATAAGGAAACTTAAAAATAGAAAATCTCCTAATCAAGATAAAATACCAAACGAGCTAATAAAAAACGCAGACACGGCTATCATAGAGGAATACACAAAACTGTTTAACATTATATTACAACATAAGAAAATACCAGAAGAATGGAAACAAAGTATAACAATACCCATTTTTAAAAAGGGATATAAAACAGACCCAGCAAACTATAGAGGAATAACATTACTGAGCACCTCGCTAAAACTTCTGACTAAGATCATTGCGGACAAAATCTCCTCAATAGTGCCGATAAGCGAGGAACAACAAGGGTTCCGAAGAAACCGATCAACTACCGATGCACTATTCATACTCAGGCAACTAGTTGAAAAATCCTTAGAATATAACTCTCCAGCCTATCTATGTTTTATAGATTTAACAAAGGCCTTTGATAGAGTCCAACTAAAAGACATCATCACCATCTTGGAAAGCAGTAATGTCTCGAAAGAACTCACAGAACCTATCAAGGACTTAAACACAAACACAACAACCCAAATAAGAACAAACTTTACCTTAACGCAGCATCTTCGAACTACAACTGGTATTCGCCAAGGCGACAGTCTCAGCCCACTGTTATTCAACACAATCATGGATCAAGTAATAAAAACCGTCAAGAATACTGGATTAGGATATCGAATGGGAATGCATAAAGTAAACATATTATGCTATGCCGATGACGCAGTACTTATTGCAGAGTCAGAGGACGACCTCCAAAGAATGCTACAAGCTTTTAACAGACAGGCAGAAAAATTTAACATGCAAATTTCCACAAATAAGACCAAATGCATGACCATTACAAAGGAGCCTCTACGGTGCAAATTGGTAATAAAAAACAAAACTATTGATCAGATAGTGTCATTCGAATACCTCGGATGCAAAATTACAAGCTCAGGATTTCTAGAAGAAGAAGTAAGGAAACAAGCCAATAAAGCTGCCGCAATATCAGGACATCTTAAATATCCCATATGGAAAAACAAACATTTGAGTACAGAATGTAAGTCAAGAATATAGAAAACCTGCATACGACCAGTGATGGCATATGGTGCGGAAACCAGAGCTGAAACATCAGTAACAAAGAGAATCCTACGAACTACTGAAATGAAGACCTTAAGAATGATAACTGGATACACATTGAGGGACAGACAGAGGAATGTAGACATAAGAGAAAAGTGCCAAATAAACGACGTTGTCAGATGGATAAGGCAGAGAAGAAGTGAATGGAACCAGCATGTCAATAGAATGGGCCCCGACAGAAATTTTTTACATCATTTCAATGACACCCTGTATATACAGGGTGTTCCAATATTCCGTGGACATAGAACTACTACGTATTTTTCGAATCAAAATAAGTTCATTGGACACAATTTACCTCTATATAAAAGTGCTTCGTTTGCCCTCTAGAGGGCCATCAAACTTTAAAAAAATAAACACATTTCTTCAGATATTTTAAAATTTTGGATGTTTTCCTAAATGCTTTAATATTTGACTTTCTCAAAAATCAAGAAAAAATACAGCAACAATAAATATAACAAATATTAACAAAACATAGACACCCAAAATCTCATTCAAATCGGAATAACGGTTCTTGAAATATCTGAAAAAATGTGTTTATTTTTTAAAGTTTAATGCCCTCTGGCGGACAAACGAAGCACTTTTGTACAGAGGTAAATTTTGTCCAATGAACTTATTTTGATGCTAAAAATACGTAGTAGTTCTTTTTCCACGGAATATTGGAACACTCTGTATGTATAAAAAATAAAATGGGTACAAATATTTACAAAATATTATAAATATTTTTTTTTATTATTACGATTATATATTTTATTCTTTGCATTTACTATAATACTTTATCAACGTTTTTGGTAGTATCTAGGCCTACTTATTATATCGATTGGAAAGATATATACCTATGACGTAACTTTGATTATCTAACAAGTACTCCAAAGCGTTAAACGCTTTCACATAAGGGTACTTTTATTAAAATTAATGATATTTGATGACCTTGGTGTCAAAGTACTTTAAAAATTTATGCAATATAATTGTTAATTTCGCGATATATTTCTAAAAAAACCAATAGACAATAGATTAAAATAATTGTAATCAATACGAATTCAAAGTTTAGCAATTTTTAAATGTTGAAAATTTTACAATATCCAAATTGATATAGCCAGTTTTGAAATAAATTATTTTATTTTATTATTTTTATTATTGACATGCAATTTAACACATTTTTTTCTATTTAGCAAGCAAAAATTTTAACTTATTTCTTTAATTAATTTTCTATGCAACATAATATATTTGTCTATGATTTGCATTTTATACAGGGTGTCAAAAAAACGTGTATCTATCTATGGTACGTGATTCTACACATCAAAATAAAACAAAAAGTTCCTATGAGCCTCCAATGCTTCCCGAAGAAGTTACGGTCCTCGAAAGGTTAAATAAAAATAATATATGTTGTTTATTTTTAAGAAATTTTGGTAAAACCGTTTTTTCCTGAATTTTTATGCTCTTACATACTTTTTAATGTCAAAGCAAAAACTGACACTAAAGTTTATTGACACTAAACCTGACTAAAAGAAATTTTGGCAAAAATGTTTAAATTTGTTGAATAATTTAAGATCGGGCAGCTCTGTATTTTACTTTATAGAGCAAATAATTGTAACAGATTTTTTATTAGATTAAAGGTACAAAAATTAGTTTAAACCAAAGATATTTAAACCCGGGAGATACAACGATCCATTCATAAAATGCTGTAAACCTTCATCACACATTGGTTTGCGAAAATCAATGAGTGCGAGAGAGAATGGACAAAGAAGGGAATATGTTATCGGCGCAACGGCAACAATGTAGTTGTTTACAAAAATTAGACGGTTGAGGTCAATTTCCAGTGGCGTGCCGATCGACCGACAGTATTTTAAGGAAATTAAAATAATTGTTTAATAAATTTAAAAAAATAATAATAACACTTACATATTTGTCGCATTGTAAAAAGTTGAGTGAGGATATTAATAGGAAAAAAATAAGTTGAGAGAAGATAGCGAAATAAATAAAAACCGGCATAATTTTTTATTATAAGATGACTTTTCACATAAGAATAACGATTAAAAAAATCAATAAGCGTTTTTACTTTATTTTATTAAACACAATACAAAATTTGATATTTTATTTATATCAAATTTTGGGTGTAATAGTAAATGTAGTTTCAATATCTTGTTCCAAACCTTGTTCATCTCCGGTGAATGAGACTCCCTCTATTAGCAATAACAAGATAAAATAGTTATTTTAACCTAGTAACACAATATTTTACCAAAAACTAATATTTGTAGACTTCACATATTTTTGATAAAAACTTTATTATTATATGTGTATTTATTATATACCTATATGAATTTTACAACTACTAAAATGATACAATGATACAAAGTACCAGAGTGGTGCGACCCCAAAAACAAAATAGAAATAAATTAAATTATAAAAATAAACAGAATTAAAAAAATAAAATTAGATAAAAAAAGTGAAAATATAATTTTATCAGGGATGAGCAGAGATAAGCAGAGAGGCCATTTACATTATAGCAACCAAAATTTAAAACAAAAGCCGTATTAAATTGTAACGGCAACAAAAAAGTAAGGCCGCAAAATTCCATTTTTGGTACACCCCAATAAAATTTTCACAAAAGATAGGTAATGATTTGTCAAACCCAAGTGGGTACCTAGATTATACTTATTCAATACCCTTTCTTAAAAGGGAAACCGAAATTGTTATTAAGTTATTAGTAATTAGTACGTACCATGTACCTTTTTTCTACAAATAATTTAATTAATAAATATATAATTTAAAAAACATAATAAATTAATAAATATACAATTTAAAAAATAAACCTAAAAATAAATATAATTTAGAAATCTGCTATTTTTATGTCTAGGTCCGCCTCTGATCTACAGAGAAGAGGATATAATAATATACCTAACCCTACTTATTTTTATTTACCGGTGAAAAGTTAAATTTGGATTTAAATGATACACTCTCTTGTACACAATACACGAATGCACCATATTTTCAAATTCATGTCCACAGAAGTCCACAAAATAACGCAAAAATACTATAATACTGCAAATAAAGAATACGGAGCTTGATCGGCGGCTTAGCAACATCGCAACAGGAGAATCTAGGAATTTTCATTCATCCTCGAAATCCGTTGTACTACGCCGGCATATTTCTAAAACTGACGTTGCCAAACTGCTTTTTTATTATTAAAAGAAGCACGAACATGATATTTTTATTCCATTATAAAATTTAAAATAGTTAAGCACTAAATGAAAAAATTGACGTTAGCAAATTAATGTACTTGATATATTATAGAAATATATAGGTTGTGGTATTTAATCGAATACTAATACCAGTATACAGGTAAATCTGGCAAATGTTTTCGGTGTAAGAGAGATGCGAAAATAAGGATAGAATAATGGCCGATGAAGGAAAAAGGTAAATAATTGTATCTCCTGAGTTTAAATATCTTTGGTTTAAACCGAATTTTATTATCACTATGTTGGTCACATTGCGCCGTGTTCAGCAGTGTTGTTCTTTATTATTTGACAATTATCCTAGTTTCACTCATTATTTTGTATAATATCGTGTTATTGTTGAATTTTTGTGAGTAATTCTTGTTTGTTTTTAAGCACAAACAGTTCTTTTAAGAGCTAAATTTTCGAGTTTTTATATTGCATTTCTTGAAATTGTGAGTTGAAAATATGCCGAAGCATTTAAACAGTCGAAGCAAAGAGCTTTGTAGCTTCCCTGGTAAACTATTTTGAACTAGAACGTGACAATAAAGGTCTTTTATTACCCTTGACTGCAGTCAGAAAAGTAAGTTTGATTGTTAAGCACTTTATACCACTTTCAAAGTTATTTCTACTTTAGTTTTTATTAAATTCTGTGATTATTAGTTTGGGTATTAATGGCATCCTCTTACTTGTTATTACGAGCAAAATAAAATTACACTAAATCACCACAATACACCAAAACACTTTTACTTTTACACTGGACGCGCGTTTCGCTAACCATGTTAGCATCATCAGCAGATGATTATAAACTAAAGTACAATCTACAAGTTGAGCGTTTATATACTCGCCCAGTAGGCACCGAGCCAACCGAGTCAGAGCCCACTGAGCGTAACAGTTAGATTTCCGCCACTAGAGTAGTAGGAACAAAGAACTTGAAGGAATTGGACCGTTGACTCTGTTCATACTATCTTTACATTTATTAATTCTGATGCTTTCATATGCATCTAATTGCCTATAATTTGAGACTTGTTTAATTAATTTTAAATTGACCAAGATCTATACAATGTTCTTTATGAACAATATGTTCGGCAACGCAAGATTTATCCGGTCTACCATTTCTTATCTGAGCTAAATGTTCTTTAAATCTAGTTAATATTGATCTTCTAGTTTGCCCAACATATTTCTGATTACAATCTTTACAAGAAATTTCATATATACGCGACCTTTTCAGTGGAGGTGTTTTATCCTTTGGATTACCTACTAATTGCTGTAATTTATAATTAGCACTATACACAAGTTTATAATTGACATTCTTAAAAATTCCTTTTAGACCACGGGATAACTCTCTATCAAACGGTATTGAAAAATATTTAAACGTATCTTTCTCCACTTGAAAAGTCGAATTTTCAGTAATCATTAACCTATACCTACGTTTTCTAATTAATTTATCAACTAGTGAAGGAGAATATCCATTACACTCAACCCTACATTCCTAATGTAATCTCTTCTATTCCATATCTTTCGTTGGAAAGGAGGGGAAACTAAGTAATCTATGAACTAAGAAATTTAAACTAGCCATTTTATGTTCAACACTATGATGTGATTCATTAGGAATATATCTGCGTGTAGTGGTATTTTTCCTATAGATATCAAATTCCAGGCAATTATTAGTATTTCTAATAACTAATACATCTAGAAATGGTAATCTGTCGTTGCTCAATTTCATGCGTAAATTTAATGGAAGGAAAACGATTATTTAACTTAGAAATAAAATTATCTATGTTGTCTGAATATGTGTCAAAAACAGCAAAAATATCATCCACATACCTAAACCATACTCTTGGAAAATACTCAAACTGATTCTTAGCCTCCACTTGAAACCTGCTCATGAATAAATTAGCCAAAAATGGAGACAATGGATTACCCATTGCTGTACCTTCCCGCTGTTCAAAAATCAAATGTACATCAATAAATAAATAAATAAATAACCGGCTTAGAATAATCTTCATAATGGACTAGTTTTTGCCAATATGTAATCAGTAAAGTCAGCTATAAAACAAATAAATCAATTAATTACAAAAATAAAATTATTAAATTAAAAATAAAACGTAAAAACTTTAACCAAAAGCAAAAAAAAAAATATTAGGATATTTTTTATCTGTCAAGTAAACGAAAAGGACGTGAATTATTCTGATTCTTTTTCAGATCGATACCAGATAACAATTAATTAATAAGTACCATTATTACATTTTCGTGTCGTCTAGGTGATTGGCAATATCAGGTACAATCATCGTCAGATGCTCTCAAGTTCAATATCTAATCATGAAAGGAGACCCTGATATGCAAAAATACAACAATTCCTTATTATTTTATATCAATAATTATTAAGATATTTTAAAGTAAAGTTGGCATTTTTTAGAAACAATGTTCGATATGATAGAATTTGAATTGGTATAAGTGGCAGGTGCGAATGTATACGTCAAAGTAATATAATTTTTATGAATGCTAATTTTAAAATATATAATTTATCTGATGTCATAGGAAAAAACTCTTTTTTAGGGTTCCGTACCCAAAGGGTAAAAACGGAAACCCTATTATATTTTTAAACCCTATAATTATTTTGACCAGTATTGCGTGGATGCCAAGAGTTCATATTATTCAAATTTATTCTATACTCTCTTCGACATACGATATTATTTCCATAATTATTGATGGGGTATTTCGTGAAGATCAATTAATAGATTAATTTTAATTAAGTAGCCATCGTTGTCCACTGCTGAACGTAGGCCTCCTCCATATTTCTCCATGTCTCTCGATTTTGGGCCGTCATCATCCGATTTCCAGCAATCCTCTTTACATCATCGGTCCAGCTGCAGCGTGTCGGTGGTCTGCCTCTGCTACGTTAATCTGCTCGAGGTCTCCATTCTAACAATCTTCTAGTCCACCTGTCTTTAGATGTTCTCGCCACATGACCTGCCCATCTCCATTTCATTCGAGTTACGTGTCCCACTATGTCTTTAATTTGGTTTTTGTCTGATAGTGTTATTAGAGATTTTGTCTCTTTAGTTATTCCAAGCATGGCTCTCTCCATGGCTCTCTGGGCTACTCTTAAATTTTCTGCTGACTTTTCGTTAATGTTAGAGTTTCGCTTCATATGTAATTACCGGCAAGACGCATTGTTCATAAACTTTCCTCTTCAAGCATATGGGTATATCACTTTTAAAGGTCTCCCGCAGTTTGCCAAAAGCAGCCCAACCCAAACCTATTCTCTTGTATCTCGTGTGTTTGGTTGTTCTTTCCGATTTGTATTTCGTGCCCGAGATATTTGTATATATTTGTTTCTTTTATGTCGGCGTCACCTATTCTGATGTTCTGTGTCAGCACTAAGTTTGTCATTATTTGCGTTTTACTCGTATTTATCCGGAGACCGACTTTTAATGATACCTGCACTAATTCTTCGAGCATCTGCTTTGAATCTCCGATGTTATCTGAGACAAGGACGATGTCATCTGCGAATCTGAGATGTGTCAACCTTTCACCATCGATATTTATGCCCCTATTCTCCGAAGAGAGTGATTTCATTGCGTATTCAAGGACAGCTGTAAAAAGTTTGGGCGAAATAGTATCCCCTCGTCGAACTCCTCTGCCTACCTCAATTTTATCTGTTGTTTCGTGAAGTTTTACAGTTGTGGTGGCATTACTATATATGTATTCTATAAGCCTTGTATACCTATAATCTACTCTTCCCTGCTCCAATGCTGCTATTATTGATGTTAACTCTACTGTGTCAAATGCTTTCTGGAAATCAACGAACACCAATGCTAGGGGCCTGTAGTATTCCACAGATTTTTCTATCAGGACTTTAATTACTTGAAGATGATCGTTTGTTCCATAACCTTTCCTAAAGCCTGCCTGTTCTCTTGGTTGATAGAAATCTAGTTTACGTTCGAGACGTTTGGCAATGATTTTGGTAAACAGCTTATACATGTGACAAAGAAGGCTTATCGGTCTATAATTTTCAAGCTCGGTGATATCGCCCTTTTTATGGAGAATTGTCGTTAAGGCGTTGTTCCATTGAGACGGGATTATTCCTTTTTCAAGTGAATCTTGTGAGTCTTAAATAAATGCAAATATTTTCAGGGCTGGTAGATCAAGATAAAAGAAACCTACTTTCTCTTTACCGTTTTTTAAATAAGTCAAAAATAACCGAGTCTATTTTACTTTGAAAATTTTCAAAAAAATTTTGCTTAAATTTTGAGAACCACTGGATCTTTTCTGTTTTATTTTTTTTGTAAATTTAATCTACCTATGTTGCCATATTATCAAGAAATTATGTTTTTTAACTAAAAACTAAAAAAAAAAATTAATACATTTTTGGCAAAAAAAACCTGGTAGACGTGTTTCTGGGATCCAAATATACTACCCCTAAAAATATTTGCACTTATTTGATTATTGACTCACCCTGTATATACTATTACCAATTACTCCACAGCTTATACCGTATGATCGAAAAAAAAAACGGCATCGAGTTGGCTTGGAAGTGAACATCGATGACATTCCCTATATAATTTTCCATATAAAATGACAGTGATCTTCATTTCACAGCCATCGCTGACGCCGGTTTTTTTTCGATCATACAGCATATAATTTTGTATTAAGTATTACCTTTATATAGGACATTCTCTGAGTAGCAATGTGATTATGTTTATTTTTATTAAAGTATGACGATGACTATACGATAAAAAAATTCGCTACCTATGTGTCAGCATAGTATTAAGTGCTTTAGAATGTATAAAAAGTGTCTTTTAATATTGATTCGAATTCTCCGAGCTTAACTTTTACAGTGTTTTTATGAAAACTTAACAATAACGATTAATCACTTGATTATAATTACATCTACATAACTTTAGGATAAATATCGTTTAATAGAAGCGCCATCCTTATTTTAATCTATAATTAATTAATATACAGGGTGTCCGAAATTCGAGGGTGATCATTTGGTGATCTTGGAACCAATAACACTTTTTCTTTTTTCAATTATCACGAATAAACAGCGATAAATATAAATGATAGGTTGAAAGACAGAGAGACAAAATAAAAAGCCGCATACAGTGTTGCCGGTTTTTACTTGTGTAGGTAGGGATATGTGTCGATATGGAGTTTTTTTTATAAAATTATTTGCTTATCTATATTTCATGCACTTAATACAACACTTAAAGACGATTCTTTTTTTTTCAGCTGGCAATAAAGAGCACATCATCAGGGGCTGTCAACTGGCAGAACAGAGCAGTCTGGACATCTGTGCCAGAATGAAAAAAGCCGACAACAGCTTCCTGAAGAAAGTTCACTGTTCCAGATGCAACAAAGACGGATGCAACACTGCATCGGCACGCTATAAAACCAACTTGTTCTTAATGTCAACAACTATCTTTGTATCAGTAGCCTACGCGACACTCAAATTTTGAAATTTTTTGAATTGTTAATCATGCGAAAGCAGACAGTATTAAAATAAAGTAAAACTTCACACTACCGTATGATCGAAAAAAAAACGGTGTCAAAGACGGCTAGGAAATGACAATCATGTACTAAAAATTGACCTAAACCTTGTCAAAAATTAACTTTTTGAAAAGGTTTATATCAACATTTTAAACTACACCATTTAAAAATAATTTTTACTCAATATATAAATAAATTACAACCTTCTTAACTGGCAATAAGCTCCATAAAAAAATAAAGAAGAGTACAGACCAAGTAAAAGACGTCTATAGAGCTTGACCTCGCCAAAATTATCATCGATTCTCATTCGCTAGCCGTTCATGACGCCGTTTTTTTTTCGATCATACATTTTTTTAATTAAAAAAAGTAATCACCCACAGGGTGTCTCAGTTTTGAAGGTGACTATTTGGATTCAAAAAACTGCACGGTTAAATGCTGGATTGTATCATCGTATCATGTTTTTTATGTGTTTTTAATTACAACATAAAATCATTTTTTGTTTAAATATTGAAACTCAAAAGAAATAATTAAAAAAAAAATAAAAATTAGAAACATAAATACTATTTCAAGACTAACTCGATTAATAAATTTATTCGAATATACGATATACAGTGTGACAATTTGAAAACGAACAGTATTTAATATTGCCTCTACCGATGATAGTATGAAAATTTGGCCAAACACGTCAATTGACATATCAAGGGGGACAATTTTTGAGGCATTTGTTGTCGTGTTACTTTCAACCCCTTCACCCCCAGGGCACCTACCCCTAAAATTTTAAATAGCAACCCCTATTTCTTTTACCATTTTTGTGTTTCTTATAGAATTCTACATAAACTACATTATTTTTTTGAGAATTTTATAAGGAACACAAAAATTGTAAAAGAAATAGGGGTTGCCATTTAAAATTTTAGGGGTAGGTTCCCTGGGGGTCAAAGGGTTGAAAGTAGCACGACAAGAAATGCCTCAGAAATTGTCTCCCTTGATATGTAAATTGACGTATTTCGCCAAATTTTCATACTATCATCGGTAGAGGTAATATTAAATACTTTTCGTTTTCAAATTGTCACCCTGTATAAATCAATAGATATATAAGAAGTTTCGAAAAATCTATTATAATAATATGTACGCGTATTATACATACATATAAATTTATATACTATTTATTATCTAGTTAGAATTTAGCATATAAGTCCTATATACAAATATATCGTAATTTGTTGTTGTTTTGATGTACCTATGTAGTTTATTGTAAAATGATATATTATAATACTGTTAGGTTTAAGAATATACAGGATATTCTTAAATAAAAGACAATAAATACAAAATAAAAAAAAAAATAAAATTAATCAAAGTACATTATAGTAGTACCTTTAGTTTTTGGGTTGTCTTAGCAAAATATAAGAAAGGCACTATTTTAGAATACCCTGTATGTGTTTGCTGTGTGTATATTGATAGTTATTAAGGGGATTGTGTTAGTTGGTTATTTATTAATAAAAAACTTTTTAAGAAATATCTTTCATCAAGTTTTTATTTATCTCCAAAAAATTATACTGTTCAAGCTTAAGAAACAGAAAAAAATTAAGAAAAATTGCCCATAAATACATATGTATAGGTACCGGGTGTTGCATCGTCGGACGGGTAGGAAATCCCATGTAAATTTTAATGGGGTCAATTATTGGTTTCCCTAATTATTTTAGAGAATAATTCTATTTAAGTTTATTGAAGAGCACTAAAACCCACATTCAAAAGAATAACTTTAGATATTTTTGATTAGCTCGTTTATCGTCGATTTCTTTTTAAATATTTCTCCTTTCTTGTGGTCCTGTATTTACTTATGAGCACCAGTCAAGGTAAAAGATAACGGTCAAATGAAGTTGTCATTTCAGAAATTTACCTATTTAGTGCTTTATTATTATTGAAAACTCATTCCTACATCGGAAATCTTAAAGATGTATTTATAAATACAAATTAATATGAATTAAAGTAGAATAAAGTAATCAATTACAAGGTTAATTATAGTATTATTCCAATATTCAATAACTTATTAATTTAGGTACTATTAAATCGTTAGAACTTTAGGATTTCAAGAAGATGTCCAAATATTCCTCCATCGACTGCTAGACAGCAACCAGGCGATCATAAAATTCTCTTCTTACATTCGCTAGTTGGTAAACTGAAATTCTATTGCATTCGGCAGAAATAGCATTTTTAACTCGTCTAGATTTGGGTATTTTTTATCCTTGTATATCCTGTTTTTTTAAATGGCCCCAGAGAAAGAAATCATTTGGCGAAATATCAGGAGACCTTGCTGGCCAATTTACTGTATGATTTAGGCCAATAACGTTTCCGTTAAAACTATTGTCTAAATATTCCCGAACAGCCTACGTAGGGTATCATGTGCCGGGCAGCCATCCATTTGGTACCAAACTTCCTGATTTCCCCTAGCGGCATCATGTAAAGCAGGTAAAATATGATTTTTGAGTAGTTCCAAATAATATTCTGCATTTAAATTTCGCGTAAGAAATAATGGCCCGATAATATTGTGTCCGAATATCCTTGCCCAAACATTTACTTTCTGTGGATATTGCGTTCTTGTTTCGACAAACCTGTGTTGGTTTTCTTTGTTTCAATATTGATAATTGAAACATTGGGTTCATTATTTAAGGTAAACGCGCATTCGTCAGTGAAACATATGTTTTTTAAAAATTCCCTATCCGTGTTTGCAACAGCAACAACAAAACGCCTGCCGCCGTATTTCGTCCCCATCTCGTAGCTCTTGGTGCTTTTCATATTTGAAGGAATAGTAATTATGTCGTTTCAAAATTCGAAACGCTGTAGTGTGATCTATTCCTATTTCATCCTCAAGTTTCCTTGTGCTGATCTTTCCATCGTTCTCTTCCACGCACAATAAAACTTCCAAGTCGGTATAATTTCTTGCATCTTCTCTTTGTTCCTGCCTTGCTTCACATCTGCAGTTATTTATTAGGGTGCCTTTGGTCTCAAATCTCTGGATATTCCTTGCGATTGTAGATTTTCCAGGTATCGGTCTATTCGGATACAGAGCAGCAAACATGTCCGACACCTTTTGATAACTATTTCCTTGATAATACCATTTAATCATCAATACTTTTTCTTCGGTAGTGTAATTCATGGCTAATATTTTCGATGTAGGTATGAGTTTTTAATAATAATAATAAAGCACTAAAGAGATAAATTTCTGAAATGACAACTTCATTTGACAGTTATCTTTTACCTTGACTGGTGCTCATAAGTAAATACAGGGCCATAAGAAAGGAGAAATATTTAAAAAGAAATCGGCGATAACTCGTAAACGGGCTAATCAAAAATATCTAAAGTTATTCTATTGAAATGTGGGTTTTAGTGCTCTTCAATAAACCTAAATAGAATTATTCTCTAAAATAATTAGGGAAGTCAATAATTGACCCCATTAAAATTTACGTGGGATTTCCTATGTCCCGCTCGACGATGCAATACTCGGTATAAATAGTTATTGTTTATATCAACAAAACTCACCTTCTTAACATCACTTAAGGGACATAAGGGGCCATTACTACCTCTTTCCCGTTCAAAATATTCTGATAAGGTTGCGATGAGTTTTTTACGGCTATTAAGCTATCTTAAACACTTCGCACTAGAAGAGGTTCTAAAAAGAACAATGCTCGACTGCAAGGTCTGCTACTACAAATTTTTAAAGCTTAAAGAATCACAACAAAACTCATTTAAACCCAAAACTCGTAATACAAAACAGAAGTGTCAAAACGAATGACAGCAGAGCTACCACCTGAATCCCCAGCAGGAAATTTAAATTCCAGTTAGTCAATCCAGGGTTGGCAACAATGAATTTAAAAATCGCGCCCTCGATTAGGTAACTAAAACTTTAATTTTTATCGCACATATTTTTATTTTTGGTTAGTTTATATATTACACATGTCTATGAGTTCTACAGATAACGTGTTGTTGTTATTTCTATTTGTCTACTGTGACGTTTATTTTTTTAATTCGTTACACACCCAAATTTTTTTAAAGGCTTAACAGAATTAAATATCTTTTGTATGTATTCATCAAATTTCCTGGAATCTACTCTCATTAACGAATACAATATCCATCATAGAAAAATATAGCAAAGATCCATAATAATAATTACTGAAGTATCTTCACGAGATAAAAGATTATGATTATCTGTGTTTTTCTGTGACTCTCCGTTGATTTTATCTCGTCGTGATATAAAAGTAGCCAATAATTTATTACCAAAACACTTTGTTACTTACTATAGTCAAATCGAACTACTAACATAGTTATTATACATCTACTAACATAAAAATGAAGTGCTTCCTCATCAGTTCTGTGTTCTTGGTTGCTCTTTTTGATCAAAGTAAGTCCGTTACAGAAGAAATTTAAACAACCTGTTTCAGGGTCTAATTTTCCTCATTATCTAGTAAAAAAACGATATTTTGATTTAACTAAAATTGTTAAATAATTTCAAGAGAGAATACTATATCTAGTTCTATTGTTCTTCTAAAACCAATTTTTTACTAAGACGTTACCAAAGTCCATGTATTTAGACATATCAATGAAAGAAAAATACTCAACGGATTCTCAAATATACAGGGCGAGTCTTAAATAAGTGCTAATATATTCAGGTGTAGTTCGAAAAAAAAAATGGATTTCTTTTTAGTTTTCAGTTAAAAAACCTAATTTCTTGAAATATGGCAACATAAGTAGTAGATTAAATTTTCTTGTGAAGACCCAGAAAAGAGCCAGTGGTACTCAAAATTTAAGCAAAAATCTTTTTTTTTAATTTTCAAAGCAAAATAACTCGGTTATTTTGGACTTATTTGAAAAACGGTAAAGAGAAAGTATTTGCACTTATTTAAGACTCACCCTGTATATCGAAGAATCTGAGGGGAGATATTGGCTTCAACGATGTGTATTTGAGACCTTTATGACGAAACTTTTGAAAAAAAATTACTAGATTTTATAAATAATATTAAATAAAAAAATAAATACCTACGCCTCAACAAATATATGAAAAAAAGTAAACAAAAGCATCAAACAGGGTATCAAAAACTAGTGTACCAAACTTCGGAAGGTGATGCTACAGATAAGAATACCAGAAAAAAATTCTATGAATATATACAGGGTCGTTGATACGTACAGGAACAGTCGATTATTAGGAAAAAATTGTAAAATATATCCTCCTCCTCCTAGGTGCCTCCTCTGTTGAGGTTGGAGATTAATATGGCATATGACTCTCTGTCCAGAGCTTGGCGAATAAGGGTGTTTCCGTCGGTGTGGGTCCAATCTCTTATGTTACGTAGCCATGATTTCTTTTTCCTCCCTATGCTACGTTTTCCATCGATTTTCCTGCTATTATGAGCTGTATTTCTTCATATTCTGAGTGCCGCATTATATATCCAAGGTAGGAAGGCTTTTTGATTTTAATTGTGCCTGTTAGGTGTTCACGAGTTTTCATTCTGTCTAAAACTTTACAGTTTGTTACTATAATAAATACATAATTAAACACAAATTTGACTTTTAATTATACTTGAAGACTCTATTTTTATTCTGGCAACATTGAATGACTTTCTTTCCTTCACCTTTTAGATACGAACGCCACAGTTTTAGAGATAAAATCACATTTTTAAAATATATTTTAAACTCTGACCAAAACCAAAGTTTGAGGTTAGTACTATAGTATGTTTATAAGGCTTCCTAAATAACATTTTTGTATTTGGGGAAACACTTTTGTTTTTTAATCGTTTTATGAGAATTTTAATTCGTTACTTTAACAGCAATTATAAAATTGTTTTCTTAGAGTAGCGGTCGCGACTAAATTATTGCGAAGACCAAATTGTTTTATAAATCAGTCGTAAAATCAGCTATAAAACATGTCGATAATATTTTAATAAACTAAAATGCATATTTTTATAGCTGTTTTGTAAATATTTTATAATTGTTTTAAATTATATTATAAATCAATTATAAAATATATCTAGCTGCAGCATAAATAGTTGTATAAGATTTGTTATATAAACGTTCCTGAGCATATTAACGAATATATTTATAAAAATGTTTTATAAATTAGTCACCAAAACATCTATATAACAAAATAATAAAACACATTTGTCTCTATGATATATTTGTGTTCTTTGCGTTTATTATATAACAATTCAGTGTATGAGATCACTTTAATAAATCGTGTATAAAACACTTCACTCTCATAATAATTTATTGTGCTACTTGGGATATTAGCGAGTAATAAACTTAAGCATAGGCACAGCTCTCGTCTACCAATCTAAGGTTGTGGGTTCGAATCCTACAGTCGGCATTTCATCAGCCAACAATTTTTATTAAAATAAAAATACCTTGGGTACCTACTTGGGATTCACAATCCTGAGGTAATAATAGACGGTTGAAGCGTAGTGCTAGCCACATTACCTTCCTTGTATACCGAACGGCTCTAGCATGGCAAGCTGTACCTTGCTGCTCCCAAAGCGTTAAACGCTATATACGGCAGCTATTATTATTATATAAACTTAAGTATACAGGATCGGTCATAAAGTCGTAGCACATCAAAGTTTAATTTTTTTAAATGGAACCCCTTATATATTACTGCATATTTCAATTCTTGCAAGAGCAAGCATGCAAGACTTTTGCGGTCTTGCATATTTTTGCACTTTTACGTGATATAAAAATAATTCCTTGTGGGTATCATGCCACTTGAGGGATTTGATTCTGTGGATGACATCTATTACCTGGGTCTTTTGTCGTATCCACTCTATTCTTACATTGAGCGTTGTGCGACCTGCAGTTTCCTTATAATGTTCATTTTACGTGTCCAGGTTTCGCATGCATAGGTCATGACTTAGTCGAATGTTTATTATTATTAATATTTTTCTTTTATTTTTTTTTTCTTTTGAATGTGATTGAGTTTCTTCTATAAGTACTCCACGCTTGAGTAATATTCTTATAATATTATTTATAATTATATGTATTTTATAACAAATACATAACTTCGTTTGGGATCAATACTTATATCTATCTTATCAATATTTATATTTCAAAACTAATTTTAATCTAAAGAAAATTAAAAAAAATTGAAAAAATACAGATTTATTTGAAATGATTATTATTTAAATATATTTTTTTTCTTGATTTGATAGAAAGGATCATGTATCCTTCGAAATCAATACTTTTATCTCAAAAGCAAATAACTGACGCAAGTCCACTCCAAAAAATGTATTTTTTTTATAGTTATATATAAAAAATTAATTAACATAATAATATTGGATGATTTTGGATTCTAATAAAAGTACAGTATGTATGTGAATTTTTCCCAAGTATTGTAATATTAATATTGTAGTAAATATTACAATTTTTGAAAACATGGTGTATATGATTTTTTCGCTACGGTTGTTTTTTGCTAAAAATGAAGAGATTTTTATCAAATAATATACAGGGTCGGCTAGATAAGAGACAGATTTGGGTGGTTAAAAATCTGTTTTATACAGGGTGTTTCAAAAATAATGTGCCATCTCTCGTGGGGAGATTCCCCACGTAAAAATAAGATTTATTTTTCATATCAACATAGGTCCGATTCTGCTTTGTTTCGTAGCTACAGGGTGTTAAAACCTTAATATTTTTTCGATTTATTATAATTTTCTTCCAAGTACTTTTAGCGTCTCGAATGAAATTTACACACGACAGTAAAAGTTATTATAAATGCTAAATATTTTCAAGTTTAAAAAGTTTCGACATATTCTCCAGTGCCCAAGATATCAAAAGGAAAAAAGTCAGTAGCGCACATGTTTTTTTTTGAAAAATATTCCAGCAATAACCCATATGTACGTCCCTGATAAACTTATCGACACTTTTTTAGCCATTAAAATATCTAGCACATTTATCCTCAAAATTTTATTCGAATCACTAAAAGTACTTTGAAAAAAATTATAATAAATCGAAAGATTATTAAGACTTTAACACCCTGTAGCTACAAAACAAAGCGGAATCGAACCTATATCGATATAAACAATAAATCTACTCTATTTTTACGTGAGGAATCTCCTCATGAGAAATGTCACATGTTTTTTAAAACACTCTGTAAATGCTTAATCTACTTGATGTAGATTTTACTTATCAATACTACGATATTCGGCCGTATTTTGATTAAATTGTCATTTTCAAATTTAATCTAGAGTGTATCTCGATTGGTAAAAACCGTATTATCTCTTTATAAAGTATATGTACTTCATCTTGTTCATAGAAAACATTAAGGAAAAAAAATCTTATGAAATTACTTGGAAATTAACAAAAATATATCTACAGGGTGATTCAGTTTCCGAAAAAGTCTATATTAGGTTTTTGGTTTGTTGAAGTCGACTAAATTTAAAATAAAAAAAATGTTTTATAATTTAAAAAAGTTAATTTTTTTTTAATTTTTTATAGGCTTGGGTGCAAGCTTGGAGAGTACAACGTGCGACTGTAGTACATACCAATCTTTACCACTGGGCATCGAATCTTTGACTGAAAATGATGTAGTAGAGTCAACATACAATTGCTTAAATTTGGTATACAATGATGGTAAGTATTGGTTAAAATTGTTATAAAATCCTTTATTTGAACGTCATTTTTTTTACAAATAATTTTTTTTCTGACGGATTATTTTTTTAATAGTTAGACGTTTATGGAAAATTGTTATCTGTACCCGAGGCAAAGGACTTTTTTTCATAAATCTCAGTGAAATAAGTAAACCTAGACGTTTTAAAAATAGCTGTTGTTACGATGATATTTCGTTAATTACATCTCGTTTTATGTTGATAATATACAGGGTGAGCCACTGAAAACTTACAATGGCTATAATTTTTCAACCAAAAAAGATATCAAAAAATTAAAAAATACCGTTTTTATAATATCGAGGGGGAATACATATGACGTATTTTTTGAACCACCCCGACCTACCCCTTATGAGGCACCCCTACTCACTTGAAAATCTTAAATGGCAACACCCCACTTGTGGCGTCTTTTTGGAAAGCTCATGAAAAATGCTAAATGATGATCATAAAGTTTTTAGGGTGAAATTGAAAAACTACCCTTACACGAACAATTAGGTGGACATTAATGAAAAAGGTGATTTTTTCAGCATAAGTTACAAATTGGGACCCAGCTAAATGACGCAAATGAAGTATTTTTCAAACCACCCCAACCCACCCCTAGGTGGCATCCCCTCACTTCTAATCTCAAGATAGCGATGCCCCACTTGTGACACTTCTATGGAAAGCTAATTGAAATCGCTAAACGATGGTCATACAGACTTCAACTTAATTACTGGTTAGTGACAAGAAATGTAGGTGTGACAATTTGAAAGAAATTTAAAATGATAATTTATTTTAATAATTGCTCAAAATGACAGCCGTTTCGTTCCATACAAAAATACAAACGATTTTCAAATTCTTCTCTCACTTTTTGGAAAGTCTCTCTCGGAATATTTCGACATGCTTCAGTTCTCCTCTGCCGCAATTCTTGCAACGAACCTGGTTTTGTCTTGTAGACTATGGATTTAGTGTAACCCCACAAGGAAAAGTCTAAAGGAGTGAGATCAGGTGACCTTGGCGGCTACTCGATTAGACCCCTTCTGCCTTGGATAATATTTATCCAACCACCGCCTTGTGACAATAGAATAATGCGAAAGGGCTCCATCTTGCTGAAAGCGTATGAGGTCTTCATTTAAAGTAGAGTTATAATAAATTTCTTTGTACCAGCTTTTTTTTCTTGCAATGGTTCATGGATACAAAAATAATTCATTCTATTGATTTTGACACGTTTTGACATTTTTGTTTTATTTTTAGGCTCTATTTTTTTCGTTCTTTTTTATGACAGTCGTTCAGCATTTTTTATACGCTTTCCAAAGAGGTGTCACAAGTGGGGTATTGCTATTTTGAGGTTAGAAATGAAGGAGTGGCATCTAGGGGTAGGTCGGGGTAGTTTGAAAAAACCTCATTTAGCTGGGTCCCAATTTGTAACTTATGCTGAAAAAATCACTTTTCTCCTTAATGTCCACCTAATTTTTCGTGTAAGGGGTAGTTTTTCAATTTCACCCTAAAAACTTTATGATCATCGTTTAGCATTTTTCATGGGCTTTCCAAAAAGGCGCCACAAGTGGGTTGTTGCCATTTAAGATTTTCAAGTGAGTAGGGGTGCCGCCTTAGGGGTAGGTCGGGGTGGTTCAAAAAATACGTCATATGTATTACCCCTCGATATTATAGAAACGGTATTTTTTTGATATCTTTTTTGGTTTAAAAATTATAGCCATTGTAGGTAAGTTTTCAGTGGCTCACCCTGTATATATATATTCTACAAGATTAATATTTGAACACGCCTTTGTAATTTGTAGAGTAGATATTTAAGAATACAACTTTTCACTCAATCTGCAGGAATATAATTACAATATATTTATTATTTAATTTTATTAAAATAAATTAGTAATTAGAAGGTATATAAAACTGTATGTTATGTTTGTTTACGCGGCCGTAATTGATTAATATAACAGTAGTATTTCTTGATGAGTAATACTGGCAACATCATCAATATATCGAGCTGATTGGGAAACTGATTGATTGAATAATAAAAATACCGGGTGCGTCTCAAAAGTGGCTCACCCCTATAACTTTTTTATTTTTTTAGATAAAATAACGAGACTTGGTGCGTTAGTTAGTTAGTTTCTTAGGTCTACGAAACTAGATTCCTATCAGCCAATAGAACAGGCAGGCTTTCGAAAAGGTTTTAGTACCATCCATCATCTACAAACAATTAAAACAGTCATTGAAAAAACAACAGAATACAGTATACCTCTACATTTGGCCTTTGTAGACTACCAAAAAGCCTTTGACAGCATCGAAACCTGGTCATTTCTAGCTGCAATGGAGGACGCGAGAATTGATTCCAGATATTATTCCACTATTAAAAATATCTATGATAGTGCAACCTTTCAAGTTAAATTAGATGATGACCTCAGAACAGAAAAAATACCACTCGGCAAGGGTGTGAGACAAGGAGATACCATCTCTCCCAAGTTATTTACACTGGCACTGGAAAATATCTTCAAGAAATTAGAATGGGAAAATAGAGGTCTAAACATCGATGGGGTACACCTTAGCCATCTGAGGTTCGCAGACAATATTGTCTTGCTGAGCACCGACATTCAAGAACTAAACACCATGCTAAATGAGCTAAATGACAAATCCCAGAAAATTGGCCTTAAAATGAACTTGAAGAAGACAAAGATAATGAGCAACAATATCCATATCATTACCGTTGACAACATTATAATTGAAAACGTAGACACAAACAATATTATATATATTTAGGTCATAAAATCAAGCTGGGCAAGGAAAACCAAAATACGGAGATCAAACGCAGGATCCATTTGGCATGGGTAGCATTTGGAAATATGAGCGATATTTACAAGGAGAAAAAGGTGCCCATGAACCTAAAGAAAAAGGCTTGTAATATTCTTATAATATTATTTATAATTATATGTATTTTATAACAAATGTAACTTCGTTTTGGGATCAATACTTATCCAATCTATCTTATCAGTATTTATATATTTCAAAACTAATTTTAATCTAAAGAAAATTAAAAAAAATTGAAAAAATACAGATTTATTTGAAATGATTATTATTTAAATATACTTTTTTTCTTGATTTGATAGAAAGGATCATGTATCCTTAGAAATCAATACTTTTATCTCAAAAGCAAATAACTGACGCAAGTCCACTCCAAAAAATGTATTTATTCTATAGTTATATATAAAAAAAATTAATTAAGATAATAATATTGGATGATTTTGGATTCTAATAAAAGTACAAGATGTATGTCAATTTTTCCCACGTATTATAATATTAATATTGTAGTAATTATTACAATTTTTGAAAACTTGGTGTATACAGTGTGTCATTGAAATGGTGTAAAAAAAAATCGGGGGGTAATAGTACTCCTAAAAATAGTAAAAAAAGTTCCTATAAGTATAGGGCGCAAAATGCATATTAAGGGAGTTAGGGGCACTGAAAGGGTGAATTTAAAAAACGCTTTTTTTGAAATTGTAGGCTTAAAAAACGAGATAAGACTTAGAAAAAAAATCCTCTACCATAAATTTTGACCCTAAATCAAATGGTGATACTGAAAAATTATTTGGAAAAGCGGAAAGGGTAGTTTTTGCAAGGGTAGAGGGTTATTTCGTGAATTACTGTTTTGAGGATATTTTTTTTGCAACGTATTTATTAAATAATGAATAGAAAAATCAAAATTTCATGATTTTTAAAACATCTTATTGCTTTAAAAACGAAATAAACTTTTTTGGTTTTAAAAAATGTTGGTTTGCTCAGTGCCGATTAATACTGAAAAGCAACTAGGGCAACGCATTATTAATTGTTCCAATCAAATTCGGACAACACCAAGGATATTCCACAGGGTATCTACACAGATCGTGGAGAAGAAGATCAGATGTCTACATTGAAATGAATGGTGGTTACTTTGAACATTTACTATGAATGAATTAAGGAATGCATTATTTTAATAAGGACTTTTGGTAATTGGATTATTTGGTTTATTATAGCAATAAGATGTTTTAAAAATCATGAAATTTTGATTTTTCAATTAATTATTTGATAACTACTTGGTTACTTTTGAACCGCCATAACTTTCATAAGCTTATGTTGATTAACCAGTTAGCAACACAACAGAGCAAACGCTTTGTCTTCAATTTCTCGAAAACCATCGCTTTGGGCGATGTGCAAAAAGAGTATCTCTTTTGTAGGAAAAAGTATGTAGTTTTCAAAAAATGAACCCACGTTGCAAAAAAATAACTTCAAAAAATTTATTCACGACAAAAAACCATTTTTACACCATTTCAATGACACCCTGTATGATTTTTTTCGCTACGGTTGTTTTTTGCTAAAAATTTATAGATTTTTATCAATTAATATACAGGGTCGGCTAGATAAGAGACAGATTTGGGTCGTTAAAAATCTGTTTTATACGGGGTGTTTCAAAAATAATGTGCCATCTCTCGTGGGGAGATTCCCCACGTAAAAATAAGATTTATTTTTCATATCAACATAGGTCCGATTCTGTTTTGTTTCGTAGCTACAGGGTGTTAAAACCTTAATATTTTTTCGATTTATTATAATTTTCTTCCAAGTACTTTTAGCGTCTCGAATGAAATTTTGACAGTAAAAGTTACTATAAATGCTAAATATTTTCAAGCTTAAAAAGTTTCGACATATTCTCCAGTGCCCAGGATATCAAAAGGAAAAAAGTCAGTAGCGCACATGTTTTTTTTGAAAAATATTCCAGCAATAACCCATATGTACGTCCCTGATGAACTTATCGACACTTTTTTAGCCATTAAAATATCTAGCACATTTACCCTCAAAATTTTATTCGAATCACTAAAAGTACTTTGAAAAAAATTATAATAAATCGAAAGATTATTAAGATTTTAACACCCCGTAGCTACGAAACAAAGCAGAATCGAACCTATATCGATATAAACAATAAATCTACTCTATTTTTACGTGAGGAATCCCCTCATGAGAAATGTCACATGTTTTTTAAAACAGTCTGTAAATGCTTAATCTACTTGATGTAGATTTTACTTATCAATACTACGATATTCGGCCGTATTTTGATTAAATTGTCATTTTCAAATTTAATCTAGAGTGTATCTCGATTGGTAAAAACCGTATTATCTTTTTATAAAGTATACGTACTTCATCTTGTTCATAGAAAACATTAAGGAAAAAAAAATCTTATGAAATTACTTGGAAATTAACAAAAATATATCTACAGGGTGATTCAGTTTCCGAAAAAGTTCTATATTAGGTTTTTGGTTTGTTGAATTTGACTAATTTTATAATAAAAAAATGTTTTATAATCTAAAAAAGTTAATAATTTTTTCCTATTTTTTATAGGCTTGGGTGCAAGCTTGGAGAGTACAACGTGCGACTGTAGTACATACCAATCTTTACCACTGGGCATCGAATCTTTGACTGAAAACGATGTAGTACAGTCAACATATAATTGCTTAAATTTGGTATACAATGATGGTAAGTATTGGTTAAAATTGTTATAAAATCCTTTATTTGAACGTCATTTTTTTTACAATAAATTTTTTTTCTGACGGATTATTTTTTTAATAGTTAGACGTTTATGGAAAATTGTTATCTGTACCCGAGGCAAAGGACTTTTTTTTCATAAATCTCAGTGAAATAAGTAAACCTAGACGTTTTAAAAATAGCTGTTGTTACGATGATATTTCGTTAATTACATCTCGTTTTATGTTGATAATATACAGGGTGAGCCACTGAAAACTTACAATGGCTATAATTTTTCAACCAAAAAAGATATCATAAAAATAAAAAATACCGTTTTTATAATATCGAGGGGGAATACATATGACGTATTTTTTGAACCACCCCGACCTACCCCTTATGAGGCACCCCTACTCACTTGAAAATCTTAAATGGCAACACCCCACTTGTGGCGTCTTTTTGGAAAGCTCATGAAAAATGCTAAATGATGATCATAAAGTTTTTAGGGTGAAATTGAAAAACCACCCTTACACGAACAATTAGGTGCACATTAATGAAAAAGGTGATTTGACGCAAATGAAGTATTTTTCAAACCACCCCAACCCACCCCTAAGTGGCATCCCCTCACTTCTAATCTCAAGATAGCGATACCCCACTTGTAACACTTCTATGGAAAGCTAATTGAAATCGCTAAACGATCGTTATACAGACTTCAACTTAATTACTGGTTAGTGACAAGAAATGTAGGTGTGACAATTTGAAAGAAATTTAAAATGATAATTTATTTTAATAATTGCTCAAAATGACAGCCGTTTTGTTCCATACAAAAATACAAACGATTTTCAAATTCTTCTCTCACTTTTTGGAAAGTCTCCCTCGGAATATTTCGACATGCTTCAGTTCTCCTCTGCCGCAATTCTTGCAACGAACCTGGTTTTGTCTTGTAGACTATGGATTTAGTGTAACCCCACAGGGAACAGTCTAAAGGAGTGAGATCAGGTGACCTTGGCGGCCACTCGATTAGACCCCTTCAGCCAATCCATTGCCTTGGATAATATTTATCCAACCACCGCCTTGTGACAATAGAATAATGCGAAGGGGCTCCATCTTGCTGAAAGTGTATGAGGTCTTCATTAAGAGTTACAATAAATTTCTTTGTACCAGCTTTTTTTCTCGCAATGGTTCATGGATACAAAAATAATTCAATCTATTGATTTTGATACGTTTTGACATTTTTGTTTTATTTTTAGGCTCTATTTTTTTCGTTCTTTTTTATGACAGTCGTTCAGCATTTTTTATAAGAGGTGTCACAAGTGGGGTATCGCTATCTTGAGGTTAGAAGTGAGGGGGTGGTACCTAGGGGGGTAGGTCGGGGTAGTTTAAAAAAAAACCACATTTAGCTGGGTCCCAATTTGTAACTTATGCTGAAAAAATCACTTTTCTCCTTAATGTCCACCTAATTTTTCGTGTAAGGGGTAGTTTTTCAATTTCACCCTAAAAACTTTATGATCATCGTTTAGCATTTTTTATGGGCTTTCCAAAAAGGCGCCACAAGTGGGTTGTTGCCATTTAAGATTTTCAAGTGAGTAGGGGTGCCTCCTAAGGGGTAGGTCGGGGTGGTTCAAAAAATACGTCATATGTATTCCCCCTCGATATTATAGAAACGGTATTTTTTATTTTTTTGATATCTTTTTTGGTTTAAAAATTATAGTCATTGTAGGTAAGATATTCAGTGGCTCACGGTATATATATATATATTATATATATATATATATATATATATATATATATATATATATATATATATATATATCATATATATATATATATATATATATATATATATAGCATATATATATATATATATATATATATATATATATATATATATATATATATATATATATATATATATATATATATATATTCTACAAGATTAATATTTCAACACGCCTTTATAATTTGTAAAGTAGATATTTAAGAATAAAACTTTTCACTCAATCTGCAGGAATATAATTACAATATATTTATTATTTAATTTTATTAAAATGAATTAGTAATTAGAAGGTATATAAAACTGTATATTATGTTATGTTTGTTTACGCGGCCGTAATTAATTAATAAAACAGTAGTATTTCTTGATGAGTAATACTGGCAACATCATCAATATATCGAGCTGATTGGGAAACTGATTGATTGAATAATAAAAATACCGGGTGCGTCTCAAAAGTGGCTCACCCCTATAACTTTTTTATTTTTTTAGATAAAATAACGAGACTTGGTGCGTTAGTTAGTTAGTTTCTTAGGTCTACGAAACTAGATTCCTATCAGCCAATAGAACAGGCAGGCTTTCGAAAAGGTTTTAGTACCATCGATCATCTACAAACAATTAAAACAGTCATTGAAAAAACAACAGAATACAATATACCTCTACATTTGGCCTTTGTAGACTACCAAAAAGCCTTTGACAGCATCGAAACCTGGTCATTTCTAGCTGCAATGGAGGACGCGAGAATTGATTCCAGATATTATTCCATTATTAAAAATATCTATGATAGTGCAACCTTCCAAGTTAAATTAGATGATGACCTCAAAACAGAAAAAATACTACTCGGCAAGGGCGTGAGACAAGGAGATACCATCTCTCCCAAGTTATTTACACTGGCACTGGAAAATGTCTTCAAGAAATTAGAATGGGAAAATAGAGGTCTAAACATCGATGGGGTACACCTTAGCCATCTGAGGTTCGCAGACGATATTGTCTTGCTGAGCACCGACATTCAAGAACTAAACACCATGCTAAATGAGCTAAATGACCAATCCCAGAAAATTGGCCTTAAAATGAACTTGAAGAAGACCAAGATAATGAGCAACAATATCCATAACATTACCGTTGACAACGTTATTATTGAAAACGTAGACCATTATATATATTTAGGTCATAAAATCAAGCTGGGCAAGGAAAACCAAAATACGGAGATCAAACGCAGGATCCATTTGGCATGGGTAGCATTTGGAAATATGAGCAATATTTTCAAGGATAAAAAGGTGCCCATGAACCTAAAGAAAAAGGCTTACGACAGCTGCATTCTACCTGTGCTTACGTATGGCTTAGAGACTATGGCAATTACCCGAAAAACAGCAGAACAACTACGAGTAGCACAAAGAGCCATGGAAAGAATCATGTTGGGAGTCACCATTAGGGAAAAAATACGGATACCCACATACGTCAAAAAACAAAATTAATAGATGTCGTTAAAAGAGTGGCAAGTCTGAAGTGGCAATGGATAGGACATGTGGCAAGACAGGATCCAGACCAATGGCCCCAAAAAGTAATCCTATGGAGACCTAGGGGAACAACAAGAAGTGTGGGCCGACCAAAAAAGAGATGGGTCGATGACGTCAGGGCAGTGGCGGGAAGACAATGGATAAGATTGGCTAGAGATCGCGAAGCATGGAAAAACCTAGAAGATGCCTATATCCAACACTGGATGGAACCAGGCTGAGAAAGAAGAAGAAAGAATGTTTTAGTGTCCAGTTAGAAAATGCTCAAGTCGTATTTTTAATCATATCTCAATTTTTTCAAATGGAACGAGGGTGGCTTGTTAGCATATTTGGAAAAGGCATTTTTCTACTAATAATTTGGTACCACACACTTGGTATTTCAAATTAATTTTCGTTACGAACCGCATGTTATAATTTCAAATAAACCATATGCGAAAATGTCAAAAGTTGACATATGATATGTCATTCTATTCAGAGTGTTATTTTCTATCGAACAAAGTAAAGAAATACCGAAAGTGCCATTTAAAAATCAAAAGTTGTAATCATTTCCGGTGAAACAGGAAATGACCGAAAACAATCGAATACGTCAATCAATCCTAATTTATGTCATATACCAATATACCAAATCTCGTTTATTTAACTGAAAAAATAAAAAAGTTATTAATTGTATTTTTTAGACATTGTGAATGATCGTAAACTGAAAAGTATAAAGTATAATTGAAACCATTAATTTATTCTACTAATTTCAAGTTTCTGAACGAAGCTTAACTGATACTCCCAACAAACACAATTTAAAAAAAATATATTATTAGTATTATAATATTTTTTTAATTTCCAGGACAGAATATCCAAACAGTACAACAGTGCATCAGTTTGCTAGACTCAAAAAGTTTCTGTGCAGCGGCCGCAGCAAAGGCTCAAATCACCAAATGTGAAATTTCTGGTAATTTCGCATTACTAAAAGATGAATCTGCTTCTGATAATCCAGCTTCTAGTCCTACAACTGTCAATCCACCAGTAACCCCTTCTGCAGCTCCAACAGAAGCTACCTCATCTTCAGGTGCCAGTACGGTTTCAGATGGCAGTACGGTTTCAGATAGCAGTACGGCTTCCGGTTCTTCAGATGGTCCCACCAGTTCTCCTCCCACAGACAGCCCCACAGCCAAACCAAACAGCGCGGCTGGCAGTTTCTTGTACACAGCCCTGTTCCTAGGCACACTCTTCGTCATTATCGTTTAAGAACTAGAAATTTTGTTTCTAAATTATTGACAACGCGTCACTCACTGTCAAATATTGTAAATAATTGCACGGTACTAGTTGTAAGGGAGAGTACTATAGTTTTTTTTAATAAAAAATGTATAAAATTGTATGGATATTTTTATTTTTACTGGTTACTGTAGTTACTACCCAAGGTATAAATACAGGATGGCGTCTCTCATACGCCGCGGAAGATCCAAGGAGAACGGTAGTTTATATCGAAATAAAATTTTGGCAGCGTATGTAGGTTAACTGAAAGCATTTTATAAAAATACTACCGTGTACCAGCGACTTTGTTAGCATCGAATTAATCATTTGTAATGGTGATGATAAAGCGAAGCAAGAATTTCCACTAACATACAAACTGGAAAAAATTTTCTCACATTTATGTCAGCATGAGAAAAAACAATATGGCGATATTATTATATAACTTGGTAATATTTGTGGGGTAGTTTCAACTCTTTGGAATTTGACTTTCTTTTCGTAGTTTCAACTCTTTGGAATTTGAAAAATTCGTTTGCCAAAAATAAGCTTTTTACGTCAAGCAGTTTAAGCAGAATCGTGGTTAAGAAATTACCGAGGAAATTACCCAACTTTTTGGAATACCCTGTATGATTTTTTAAAAAATTTCAAAATATGTAAAAAAAAACAAATAAATTATGCTTGTCCAAGCGTTTTCCCGAAAGACTAACCGTTTTTTAAATAACAAATATTGTAATATTTGAGGGGCGCTTTCACCCTCTTGGAATTTGAGATTCAAGAAACCCCTCCTTATTGAACCTCTACACCCCACAGTCAATCCGTTTGCCAAAAATCAGCTTTAAACGTCAATCAGTTTAAGCAGAATCGTGATTACTCAATGGTCATATTTTATGAAATACCCTGTATAAATTTATAAAAAGTCTTAAAATATGTAAAACAACAAAATAAAATATACGTGTTTTTCGGAAAAACTCTCGGTTCGTTAAACCTCTACACCCTAAAGTCAATCTGTTTTCCAAAAATCAGCTTTTTACGTCAAGCGCTTTAAGCAGGATCGTGATTAATCAATGACCAGATTTTTCGAAACACTCTGTATACATTTTTAAAAAAATTTAAAATATATAAAAAAACAAAATAAAATATACGTGTTTAAGCGTTTTTTCGGAAATTTTACCGTTTTTTAAATAAAAAATATTGTAATATTTGAGGGGTGGTTTCACCCTCTTGGAACTAAAATTTCGAAAAATTCTATCTTATCCCTTCAATCTACACCCTACAATTAACCTGTATGCCAAAATTGAGCTTCTTACGTTGAGTGGTTTGAACAGGATCGTGATTAATCAGTATGTCAGTCACTTAAGGATTTTATATATTAGTATAGATATAGAATTATACAGGGTGTCCCCAAAAAAGTTACATATCAAAGTTGTGTTTTTTTTCTAATGGAACATCTATATATTAATTGATTTTCGGGTTCTATGCCAAAATATAAATAAAGTTCTCACAGATCATATTAAGATAGGTAGGCAATAAAAATATAGAGTTATATTTTATTAAAGGTACATTTAATAGTATTAATCCAAGAACATAACACAAATATTTGTAATTGTGAACAAAATAAAATAAGAAAAATCATGGTAGTGTCATCGTACTGCAGTAAATACCGAATCCTATGAATGAAACCAAACTAAAAACTTAACAAACATCGCAAACAACTCGAGCGCTTCGAACTGCCCCAAAGTATGCTCGCTTGGCTCCGAAGCGTCTCTTTCATGTTCCGCGACAGAGCTGAACAGTCGAAACAGGCATTTCATCAGATCGCAAGCACGTGGAGCACCGCGAGCACCGCGAGCGCCGCGAACATCTCGCTCCGACTGTTTGTTTTGACCATGTTTTTCGTGTTTCACGTGTTCGCTCGGCCTGCTCGCGAGCAATGTGGACGCAGCTTTAGAGATCCTAGTCCCTCCAAAATTCTTCGCTTGGTGAAGGAGATTATTAAGCCCCGGTTACACGGTCCGTGGTCCGACGAACCTGTCACAACGAACCTCGGACCGCGGACCGTGTCACATAGGTGGTTCGCTGTGGCTCGCGGTCCATGATCCGTGGTCCGGAAGGTCCCGTCGGCGTTGGTTGTCGGTAAAATTTCACGGAACAAAGGGACTGTGTTGCTCCATGAGCGTTCGTATTGGCTCGGAAAATTACGGACCATTGTCGGTGCATGGAAACAGGATCAGTTGAATGTGGCGTAAAGAATAGAAACGTCGAGATGTCGTGGACCAACGAGAAAAATTTGGATTTTGTTGAAGCCCTTGAATTAGAGGAGGCAATATGGAATCCAAAACATAAAGGTCATAAGGACCGAAATATTGTCCGCATGATCAAAACCAAATCAACTAACATATTTGATCCACTGTATCTGAAATTTAATCCATATTAAAAAAATATTGAATAAATAAATTTCGAAATTAAAACAGTTTAATGTTATATACAGAAAGAAATAAGTTTACCTGCTTTTATTTCGCATATATGTTGTCACCTACCATCTCTTCTTGCGTTTTTTGCATTTTTGTTGCAACAATAATCTACTATACATGACACACAAAGTAGCAGCTACCACAGCCTGTTGCCTTGTATCCATGTCAAATCGAACTAAATTTTCAAGTTCCGGGATCAGTCTGCAGACCACGAACCACACAAACCGTTTTGACAATGTCGGTTCGTCAAATGGCGGAACAGGGCCGTGTAACCGGGGCTTTACGGTCTTTGTAGGACTAATATGATTAACCATTTTAGAACAAGCCATAGATTTAGTAAGAACAGATATAACATTGTGCATTTTAACCCGATCAAACAATCGGAGGTTGACTACGTAATGTAAAAACCAACTGAAATAGGCGACATTGCCACATCTCAAATTTGCGCATATCTACTTAGTTTGATTTGCAGAAAAGGTGACTTTAAAACCTTCACCGTATATCAATAAATCTCAATTTCTTAATTAAATTAATAGTTTATTTTGAAAGAAGCATGCGTAATAATATGGTTATTAACCAGAGGATATATGCGTTACTATTAAAGGACATGTTTACTGTTTAATGTGCTGAAACGTCTAGAACTATTGGCAACGTCGCTGCTAGTCTTCCAGAATGAAATGAGCCGTCCGTCCCACCACCCCTCACAACGGCCCTTGATCCGTTATAGCGTACTACGTTTAGCTTACGGTGTGTTCGAAGTCGGAATTAAGTCCGAAGTGAACTTTTCAGTGTTTTTCAGTAGTTTTTGTTTTTGTTTAACGTACTTTTGAATCTGCGAATTTTCAATATGGTACGAAAGTGTCAAATGTGTGGACAAATAAACTCAAATTACCCGAATTTGTCTTTTCACAGGTAGGTATTGTTTCCGCCGCGCCGTAATCGTACATAGGCGTCCCACAAGGGAGCCTCTCACAATTAAAATAATTTCTAATTATATTTGTTGAATTTTGATCTATTAAAACAAGAACGTAGTAGCCGGTAATTGAATTATAATTCGTCTCAATTACTACCTAACTGTTGTAGATCATAACAAATTTGAATATAAACGTTACATTTGAAACTTTATTATAAGCCAGAAAGTGACATTTTTTTCTTAAAATTGCGTCCTATTTGGTCAACGATATTCTAAAGGAATTTTGCTCAATAAATAAACATAGGTGTTTACCCGACCTTTTTTACATTTTATTGCTTTATTATATCTGCCCCTTCGGCCTTGTTTAGACAATTTTTTACCACCGTACAAATACATCTTCCTAGTTTTTTGTACGGTGTGTTTAACTTTTTTAGAATGGGACGAACTGTAAATAATTCTTAGGCTACTAGTTTTATACATACCTATATAGAATAGAGAGCGACCCAGGCCTCCAAAAAGCTTTTTTCCTATTACGTTTTTGGTTTGTGATTTTTATTTCAATTTTTTACATAAGATGGGGGCCATTGTAACGCACATTTTCAAAATATTTTTGTCAACATACAGGGTGATTCAAACCGCAATACATATGCTTAATACAGTTCATGAAGTGTAGCACACAGATTTTATACTTTTAATGATAAAAACCTTCTATTGCGAGACTAAAAGGCAATTGCCTCGTATCAGAGCCATCATAATACAAGAAGAAGACCGAAAGTCAAATATTGTCTTATATTTTCAAAAAAAACACAATTTTCTCATTAAATATTGATTTTTGGTATAGGAAGTTATTAATAATACAAGATTAAACAACTATTACACAGTACCTCACAGGAAGCTATCGATTGCGAACTAACTAAATCGTTACTAATTAGGTACTAATTTTGAAAAGTTCTTTTTAAGATAAAAAAAGGTAACTAAAACCTAAACTATCATTTGAGATTAAACGGGAAGTTCTAAATAATGTTGCCTAATCTAAACAAGAAAAATTTATTTATAAGTTAAGTTTTATAACATTCCTAATTAAATTTGGACGAAAAGAATATTTCTGTTTGCTGTAGGTAATTTTCTCATGGAAAATACGTAAATAAAAATGACTTTTTAAGTCAAAAAAAGTCAAAAGGACAAGTTATTTCAAAAAAAGGACAAGTTATTCTAAAAAAGGACTGTCCTATTCAAAAAAGGACAAGTGGCAACCCTAGGTATTTCTGGAATGGAAATTTAATGGCAAATCTACAACTTTGGTTTGAAAATATGTTCCGGCCACCTATGTTTACAAAAATGTCTAAAATGTGCTTAAATGCCTCCATATTCTGAAAAAAAAATTGAAAGAAAAGTCACCAACCACAAACCTAATATAGAACTGTTTCGGAAGCCTGAGTCACCCTGTAAGTATTCAAAAGTAACTGAAAGTTTAAATTGAAAATCGACGTTGGAGTGATTTTCGAAAACTACTAACGTTTCAACATAAGTATATGTGGGATATTAATTGTATTATATTATAACAAAACTCATCTGACGAAAAAGTGTTAATGTAGTATATTAATATGGAGTAAAAATTTTACTAATTACTTTACTTTTTAAATTCGTTCCAAAAAACGATACGCCACTGGCCATACGCGCTGGAACAATCCTAAATGCGCCTAGTTGCCGGGGTCGGAAATTTTAGACTTCTCTGTCTCTTCTGTCCTTGTTTGACACATTGGAATGTTTGATACACTACCAACGGGTATTTATGAATGAGATGTTCGGTCTATCTTTATAATGTCTTTGGAACAAGCAAACATTTTTATGAAGAATGGATTTTTCTCGAAATGTCAATATTAAACAAGTTTTTCCTCTTGTAAAGACAATTTGGAGACATCTGTAATTCTTCCTTACTCTTTTTATTTCCAAGAATTTTTCAACAGGATTTTTAAAGAATTTTGATGAAATCATATCAAGAAACACTACTGTACTTTGAATTAAAACTTTGCAACAAAGACAACACACTTAGTTATTGTACAAATATTGCAAAATTTATTTCTACTATCCAACCAACAAAAACAACACAAAAGCAAATAAATAGCTGTGATATCCACCCATTGTAAACAGTTTTATGGCATCCAGGCAGATTATCACAGGGCTTTGTCTATAGCTACATACTATTTTTTTTTCCTTGTTTACTCAAGTTTTATTGTGGGATAATTTGTGCAACTTTAGGGCGTCCCCCGCCATTTATATCACGTTGAAGAATTAATCATTTTTTTTATCTTTTTTGTTATCTTTGATAAACCGGGCGACTGAAACATACTTCTTGGTTTTCGCGGTTTGTTTAATGCAGTTTCCATCTGACTGTCTTGAGTTTTGCCAACCGTAGTCTTGGCGTAGTGATAATAGTCTAATACAGGATCAAAAGTTCGTACAATTATGGATAGCAAAAGGATTTTTTTGGTTGCTTTGTTGATGGTCGTTCCATTATACGGTAAATTTTCAACAAAATTTTAGTTTTCCAAGAAATGATAAAATATTTTTTATTCAGAATAATAATTTTGGATAAGTTTTGAAAATACACTCAGCAAAAAACGCAACGGAAAAATTTTTGGTTAAATTTAAAGTGTTATTTGAAGATTATTATTTAACGAAGATGGATAAATTGGGGCAAAGTTGCGTCTTAGGCTGTTCACCAAAATGCCATCGAAAAAGTTTTAAAAATTTCAAGGATTGCTGAGTTTTTTGGAAAAAACGTTTTTTTTTAAAACTAATTTTATTTTTTCCTGTCGTTAGTTTTTAGAAAATCGAAAAACTAATTGCACATTCTCATAGCCACTTTGTTAGGGCTATCTGATATTATTTTTAGATTTTCAAATTAGCTGATAATTTGTGAGATACAGAGGCCAAGTTAATTTTTTTAAATACGGACCTGCATTTTTTATTTCAGATTTTGAAAGAACTCAGTCTCCTGAGTACAACGATATACCACACTTTATACTTTTTTTTTGTTTAATTATAATTTAAAAAAAATTTCAAGTTCGACTCTGTTTATTAAATTATTTAATCTGATTTTATTCATCGCAACAATATTGATCAGTGCTAATTAACATCGAATAAGGAAAATTGAGCCAATTGAAAGATTCAAATAAATAATATCCAGATCAGCAATTTAAAGATATTATTTTTAATTTTTCTTATTGTGAATTTGAAATTCTCAGTGTACGATCTAATAATTTGCATAATATTAATTGTAGTTATTATGAATAAATTAACTTCTACAAACTAGTTTCTAATGCTTTACACAGTCTGCATGTTCGAAAGGGTTTTCAGCCTCCCTATTGCACAAATTTATTTTTCGTTCAATTTTATTTATAGCTTTTTAGATGTTCTTATACTTTCGAATGCATTTTGTACTGCCTAGATGTGTTGATTTTACTTTTTTGTTAAAATTTGGACCTGTCGAATTACTTGACGTCATCAGACGGCCCAGGTACCTCGCTGGCCATTAGACTGCTCTACCATTTCAAATCCATCTTCCGGGGAAATGAGTTGATTGTTTATATTACATTTTATTTATATTATATTTATATTACCTACATTTTATTTATTATTTTATTGCATTCGATTTTCCGTATCCAACCTACGTCACTGTTAAGTTTGAAAGCTTATCAATATTGTAACGATGAATATATTAAATATTAAAAAAAAACAGATCCGGACTTGAAATTAGTTTAAATAAATTGTGTCCTAATTTCCAAAACAAAAAGAAATATGCACATTTTTGATAAACACCCCGTAACTCCGAAACGGAAACAGATATCGATGTGCGCTTTTCACTATCATGTTTTTGATGAAAATTGAGCTCCATACACCGATATTAGTTTTTGTCTATCTTCTATAGAAAAGGATGTTTTCCTTTAAAACCGTCCAATTTAGCCCACCCTGTACAGCTTTAAACAAAGCGATGTAAAACGAAAGATGACAGTTAATTTTAACATTTGATATATGTTGACAGGAGCCTACTATGTTTCTATATGCAAAAAAAGACAACCCTCGTATAATAAATAAAAGCTGTTCATGGTTTTTGCTAAAGTTTTTAATCCATCATATCTGACTAGTGTTGTAAATATTTCCTTCTACGGAAATATTTCCATGGAAATGGCAATATTGGAAATTTCCAAACGTGTCTCGGAAATATTGGAAATATTGGGAATATTGGGAATAATTGGATTCGAACCCGATGTTTATTAATATATCTTTCATATTTCGTAACCCTATAAACATTAAACTTACTATAGAACAGTTTTACAAACATATAATATGGTGAATATATCGAGTTTGAGGATTCAGCGAATTCAAAGAGAAAAATTTGCTATTAAACCCATTCATTATGCTGCAGAACTACTAAATCCAAAATCACAAGGTTCTAAACTTGATGAAAGATGAAACCCAAATTCTTTCTGCCATAGAATGCATACTTAATATATCAAAAAATAAACTCAATATAAAGGAGCAAGAAATAATAGATAAAATAGCAGATTACCGTTGTAGAAGTGGCAGATTATTTGGAAATAACTTCATATGGAAAGGTAGTTTTGATAACCCAGTCTCCTGGTGGAAAGGACTGTGTTCTTCATCTTCATTATCACAAGTAGCTTCACAAATTTTGATGATGCCAGCATTTTCGGCTGCCACGGAACGCAGTTTTAGCGTTTATAGGCATATTCATTCAAAAAAGAGAAACAGGCTTACTAATGATAGAGCCGCTAAGCTACACTATGTATCCCACAATGAAAATAGGAAACGGCAATAGATCAATTTTTATTTCCGATACTATTGAAGATTTTGAGGAAATAGACTGGCAAGAAGATGTTATTAAGTGTGATGCTGATGACAGCGATGAAGATATGCCTCTTGCTCGACTAGTGTGTCAAAAATATTTTTTTTGTACAAATTTAACTTTAATTTATTTTTTAATTTGCAGAATAACTCATTTTGTGTTTTGCGATGTTTTGTTATGACTTTTATAAATAAATATTTCAGGTTTTCTTATTTTTTAAAATATTTCATATATTTCCAATATTTCCACATATTTCAAATTTTTCAGGAAATATATTTCTGGAAATTTTACATCACTATATCTGACCGTTTTAACTGATAGGTAAAAACTTATTTGTACGCGTACTTTCATGTCCAAAAAATAATGATTACTAAACAGGAAATAGACAGTATAATAAAGAATGACCTTAAAATTACTAATTATTTCGTATAATATAAATAAAAGATCGGTAAAAAAACTTTTAAGTTAAACGGTTTTATCTTATGTGCACTGAAAACTAGAAAATAATAATAACAATTAGGTATTTTGAACTTCTAGTTCAGAAATATTTTAGTACTAGGCAGAATAGCTTTTAGGCATATTAGACTAAAATAAAAACGTGGGGCCCCTCTGAAATTCTACCTATGGCAAAGCATATCTTTATACTTTGATAGATCATGAGCTCGGCGTTCGTTGGTGAAGGCCGCCGTTTGGCTGGTTATTGATTGTCAAAAATCTCCAGTTATGATTATAGTAAGTCGATGCAATCCACACTTAGTATATAGAAGAAAGTATTACAGCAATAGTTAATGGGCCGCACGTTTTTATTTTAGTCTAATATGCCTAAAAAGCTATTCTGCCTAGTACTAAAATATTTCTGAACTAGAAGTTCAAAATACCTAATTGTTATTATTATTTTCTAGTTTTCAGTGCACATAAGATAAAACCGTTTAACTTAAAAAGTTTTTTACCGATTTTTTATTTTCTAGTTTTTAGTATTTAACGGAAATGCCTACCGAATATTCCTTTCATTCTATTTAATTCATTTAGTGCATCGTTATTACATGGTTTTTTACCTTGATAATTTATTACAATCTGACGCTCAGGTGTTTCTGACGCTAACAACTCTCTCTCTGTCTGTCGCGTTCTGATGCTAGCCTAGACCTCATGACGCTCAGGGTGTTTCTGACGCTAACAACTCTCTCTTTGTCTCTCTCGTTGTGATGCCAGCCTAGACCATCGACGCTCAGGTGTTTCTGCCGCTAACAACTCTCTCTCTGTCTATCACGTTGTGATGCTAGCCTGGACTCATGACGCCTTCAGGTGTTTCTGACTCTACCCAGCTGCCTTTGTCTCTCACGCCAGCTATTAACCGGCGGCATCATGTTGCTCAGGTGTTTCTGTTGCTAACCGTTCTCTGTTTCTGTAGACTATAGGTTTCATTTTCACTTTCTTTTTGCATCGTTTCGTTCTATACTTTCTTTCGCCTTTCAAGCCTTCTTTCGTTGTGTAGCAGTTTCTGTTTTTTATTTTTGTTTGTTTTTTTATTTATTGCTTCCATGTTCTAATGAGTAATGGACATTTTAAAAGGTCGATCCCCCCAGAGGTTCAGTAGAGGAGCAAGGCTATAATATACAACAAGAGGCGCCCAATCTTGAGGGGAAAACGCTTGCGACATTACATTTTTTAGCCACCCTAATGCCATACAGTGGTGTCCCTCAGCGCGTTTTAACCTATTGCCTTAACTTGGGTGGTAAAGCTACCGCTAACTACGTAGGTACATCTAATCACCTATTTTTTTATCTGTCCTTCTAACGTCACACAATCTTGGACACACAACTGTTCTTGGACACGACTACTCATGCCCTCACCTAATACTCCATTTTGTAACGACGTCCATCTGGATTTTAAATTTTGTCATAATCACAGTATTCTACTAGTGTAGCTCCCCTTTCCTTTGATACCCATGGTTGAGGGGTTGTGGAAAATATGAAATTCGCCATTTTGTACCGGCGGCCATCTTAGATTTACAATGTTATTGATATTACTATATTGTATTGTCATCGGAACTAAAGGTGTGTACCAAATTTCAGATCAATCTGACAACAGGAAGGTACTTAAATTTCAATTTGTAATTTTGACCCAAATAAACAAACAAATAAATAAATACCGTACGGGTCGAGCTAAATAAAACCGTTTAAAAAGGTTAATACATGTAACACATTTTAAACCCTCAATTGTGACGTTTTGTTAATCAAGGAGTGTAAAACTAAATAAGATACTTTTTACAACGTTCAATACCCATTATAAAATCCAAATCCTTTAATGTTACGATATTACCTGCACAAAAAAATACACAATTACAATATTATTGCGATTATAGTCTTAGAGATTATTGGTTATTATTAAGTGATATAAAATTTTATAATTAATACAATTAGATATATTAATTGATTGTTTATTCTTATAGGTGGGGCTGATATATGTCAAAGCTGCATAGGAGAGAGTTGTTTTAGTCAAGATACAGAGTATACTCTGTGCAATACAGAGAACTCTGATATTTTTGGCAGGAAATCAGAAGATAGTATTGTTGGTGCTGCTCCGAATTTTGGATGTTTGAATTTGGAGTATATTGATGGTAAAAAATACTGTTTTCTACATTATTGTCCGTTAAATAAATTTAAAACTTCAAAATCAAAGTTCCATAATCAGGATTTTTGTTTGAGATTTGATTGATATTTATTTAAAAAAAAATAATCAAATCTCAAACTTCTATTTCAAAATTCTCTCAGTTAAGGTTAGAGTTGAAAATGAAATGTTTTTTACAATTATTTTTTTTTTTAATTTTAATGAAAAAATAATTTAAAATTTTGATGCAAATATATACTTTCGGTATATTTTCTAAATCAATCTGGTATTCTCTTACAGGTAATACTGTCAAATATACAAAGCAATGTGTCCTGGTGGATGACAGTAATAATTTCTGCCAAAGATTGAAGACAAGTGTCAATGTTGTGAGCTGCGATGTACAATCTCCAATAAAAAGTATATCAAAAAGAGATACAAATGAGCAAGATTCAGAGACTGGGTCATCTACTAATGATGATGCCTCACCAAGTACCACTGTTGCAAGCACGAGTACAGTACCTAGTAGTTCTCCAACTGCTAGCCAATCTACTACTTCCATCTCTGCCAGCACTACATCTTCTAGTTCAACCAGCCAATCTACTTCTTCTGGTTCTACTAGCACTGGATCAAGTGGTTCTACTGTAACTCCTACAGATACTACTACTAGTTCTGGGTCTACTTCTACTAATTCTCCAAGTAGTACAAGCACAATTTCTTCTTCATCCACATCGTCTAGTACTTCTGTTGTAACAGAATCTTCAACTACAGTTTCTACTACTACAAGTACTCCATCTACAACTACTACTAGTCCTCCTCCGCCTACTACTACTCCTGAATTAACTACCACTTCTTCACCAGGAACTTCCAGCACTACTGAAGGTAGCAGTGCAGTGTATACATCTGTCTCTATCTCACTACTGCTATCGATAATTCTGTTTAATTTCTTTGTTTAAAGCCATTTTCTATTTGTCCTGTTAATTATACAAACATTTGTATAAAATTAAGTGATATTTTACGCCTTCCTGATGATGTAAAAAATATACAGGGTATTCCTTAATGACATACTAATATTTAAGGGGGATTCTTAGACATATCCTAAGCAAAAAAAATCATATGAATGTATATCCTAAATATCTTGACTTTAGAGATAGGGGTGGTAAAATTTTCTAAGAAAAACTTTTTTCAGAATAACTCTGATGTTGTTATACATATTATACATAAAAAATTGATTTTTTAATTAAATATTTGCATGTCAATATAAGAAACACCCTGTAAATCTGTAAATATTGACAAATAAAACAGTTGTTTACATAGAATATTTGTTTAATTTAAGCGGGGGAATATTCTGTAAGACTTACAAGTACCCAGTTGTAAGAAAAGTGAAATAAATAAAGGACAAGTATTTTATCGATACAAACATATCGATACACTAAAACCGTACTTGTTATCGATAAATTATACCCATTTCTATATTTGACAACTGATCTAACCTCACAAATTTAGCGTAATATTTTCAGTGGTTGATATTTTAACACATTGTTTATTATAGTTTAAAAATGGGTTTAAAAGTTAAAAAGAAAAACAATTTCAGCCGCAAACCAACCAGAAAAGAGTCTAGAAAAGAACAACGCCAAGCGAAAAAGTTAAAACGAAACGAGTACTTTTCAAAAAAGAAATTAAACTCTGGTGAAATTGTTACAAATGAGCATGTTAAAGAGGAGAAGTTAAATAGAAAGACTGAGAAAACTAAGAGTGATATAAAATCGGTTAAAACTGAGCCAAAAACCGCAAAGAATAATGTAGGTAATAATAATATCATTGACAATGAACGTAAAAAGGAGAAAAAACAACATAAGAAGCTTATTGACGATATGGCCAAACAAAGAAAAGACCAGTTATTGAAGGAAAATGAAAAAGAGGATCAGAATTTGAGGAAATTGGAGAAACAACTCAAATTGAACAAAAGGAAATCGAAAGCTATACCGAAATCTTTTGTATCTGATGGTTTGGCATGTAAGTATACTACAATTTATGAACCATTTTTAATTATGATGTAGCCTCTGTCACATATTTAGATAATCTCTTTGTAATTGGGATTCTAGCTATGCTAATTTAATTTTTCTATTGATTTCGGGTAGTAGCTATTTTTAGTTTGTTATTTGTGCTTGTAGTTTTTTTATAATTTCAATATTTAATGAAGCATTCTTTATACATATATTTTTTAGATATTCTTGAAGCAACAGATTTAAATAATATGAAAGACATGGCATCAACTGAACAAGATCTAAACGAAGTCAATGACGAGTTTGAAGAAGACTTTGAGTTGATGACAGGCAAAACATCTGGGAAAAGTAAGAAAAATAAACAAAAAAATGATACTACTGAGAGCGATAGTGATGAGGAAGATGGGTTTGAAGATATATTAAATGAAGATGAGTCCAGCGATGGTGAATTCCAAGATGAAGGTAAATAATTAAATGGTATTCAGTTACTGTGTATGTATTTTTTGTGTAATATTTTTAGGGAACTCAGATTTTTCTGATAGTGATAGTGATAATATCGAGGAAGAACAAGGTAACAAAAAATCAGGAAAGAGAAGTTTTGATGATAGAGAAGGTGAATCAAGTAAAAAAAGGAAAATTGTGAAAAATGAGGAGGAAATTGATGAGTTTCAAGACAGTGGTAGCGAAGGTGATGATATGGATGCTGATAATAGTGAAGAAAATGATTCAGATGAGGAAGATGATAGTGATAAAAAAAAGGATGATGTTTGGGAAGATATTTATGGGAGATTGAGATCAAAAGACGGATCAATTATTACTGAGTCAGTAAGTATTTTTTTGATTATTATACAGGGTTGTTCACCACATACGACATGGAGTATTGTAGCTAAACGATTAGATTTTTACATATTGTAAGTTTTGTGTTCGTTGAAGGACTATTAGAGCTAAAATTTAAAAATATTTTTACCAGATACAGAGTGTCCCAAATCAGTAAAAAATATTATAGTTGTATTTTTTAAATTGAACTGAAGTTTATTTATTGATCAAATCTTGTATTGCAACAATAAACAAAATACTACATTATACAGAGTGTCTGAAAATTTATATAAATAATTACTAGCTTTAAACGGCAATAACTTCTTTAATTTAAATGGAACACCCTGTATATTTTATGAGAATCTAAATTGTGCATGCGATTCTCATAAAATATACAGGGTGTTCCATTTAAATTAAAGAAGTTATTGCCGTTTAAAGCTATTGTCTTATCAAATTGTATTATACTATCTTTACCTATCTCTTCAAGTTTTCGTAGAAAATGCATTTTCTTATAATTTAGACCTCATTTATCACTATACCCATGGAATATTGACATTTTAGATTATTTTTAAAGATGTAACAAAGTTTCAAAGAGTACAGATACTAATATTGTCAATATAATGATTTGATTAAAGAATAAACAAAACTAATCCCAGAATTCAAACTACATTAATCAACGTAAACAGTCAATTACGTTGATTAATAATAATTGCTCCAAATATTAAAAAAATAATAATTTTATGCGTGTATTAGACAGTGTGGTAAAAAGTGTTACTTTTTATTTCATTTTTTTATGAATTACAACAGAGACGTTCATTTTCATAACTTATTATATTGATTTCTGAGTCAAATCCACATTTATTTAGAATATTTTATTAATTAAAACAAGGTAAGTATGTAATTAACTAATTTTTGAGCGGAAATAATGGTGGTATATTTAATTGATATACAGAGTGTTTCAAAACAATTGCGAAAAACTTCAGGGGGTGATTCCTTGTTCAAAATAAAGGGTAGTTTGCTTTATAAACGTTGGGTCAAAAGTCAACCTTTAGGGAGATATCGCGGTACAAAGATGGCGGAAAAATAATGTTCTTATTTTTTATCTTGAAAACGAAAAGCGATAGATTAATGAAATTTTATGGAAGCATTACTGTTACGAAAACACACTTTCTGGTAATTTTCTCACTTTTTTAAAACGAGTGGAAGGGGTAGAAATAAACTACCCCTATCATTCTTGTTAACAAAATTTAAAGAAAAATCTTATCAAACACATGCAAACATTAATTTGGATAGTTTAGTTTGTTTAGAAACTTTTTTATCTCTTGTGTTTTGTTGATAAAACTCACCGATTTGAAATTAAAAAATAAAATGTGAAAAGCATTAGGTACATGTCAGGACAAAATATATTTTTAGATCAAGAATCTAGTGGACTGCTGTAATTTTTTATAGGAAGCATAGTCGGCCGCTGTCACTTTTTAGGATGTTTCTAATATTATTTTATTTGACATTACTCTACTGCAAATGTAACGATATTGTTACGAAATAAAACTGTTTGACAGCCCACTAGATTCTTTATTTAAAAATGTTTTTGTCTTGACATGTAATGCTTTTACATTTTATTTTTTAATTTCAAATCAGTGACTTTATCAAAAAACACAAGAGATAAAAAGTTTCTAAACAAACTAAACTATCCAAATTAATTTTTTGCATGTGTTTGATAAGATTTTCTTTAAATTTCGTTAACAAAGTAGGGGTTTATTTCAACCCCTTCCACTCACTTTAAAAAGTGAAAATTACCAGAAAGTGTGTTTTCATAATAGTAATGCTTCCATAAAATTTCATTAGTCTATCGCTTTTCGTTTTCAAGATTATAAAATAAAAACTTATTTTCCATATCTTTGTACCGCGATATCTCCCTAATGGTTGACTTTTGACCCAACGTATATAGAGCAAACTACCTTTTATTTTGAACAAGGAACCACCCCCTGAAGTTTTTCGCATTTGTTTTAAAACACCCTGTAGATATACTCTTTTACAAAGATTTAAATAGTTTTTTTTGTAAACAAATGGGCTTGCAATATTATTATTTTCACCACCTGTACATTTTGAACATTTGTTGCATTAATTTTTTTTAAATTTAAAATTTTCCATGGGTATAATGATAAATGAAGTCCAAATTATAAGAAAATGCATTTTCTACGAAAACTTGAAGAGATAGGTAAAAATGGCATAATACAATTTGATAGACAATTAAATTGTGCATCTGATTCTCCTAAAATATGCAGGGTGTTCCATTTAAATTAAAGAAGTTATTGCCGTTTAAAATCTAGTAATTATAGCAATACGTAACTGA